GGGGGGGGAGAACACAATTTCAGAATACCTGGGCCTGCTATGACCTGAGCCTGAATGCACTGATTGATCAACACCCACAACAGACGAATGGAGGGGTTTCTCATCTTAAATTTGCTTATACTGCTTAAAAGCCAGCTAACTTTCTAGCGCTTCTAGTAAGAATACTAGATATTACAAGAAAGTTTAGACAGTACATCGTTAGTTTTCCTTCCTTTGTGCCACTACTATAAGAAAAGTTCAGGTACATACCTCTTATTTTCTTTTCAGTGTTCCCCATTTGATTGAGTTTTATGAAAACATACATAAAAATAAATAAAATGTATAGAAAACCCCAGATTTGTAACATACAATTCTATATCCTCTTACAGCACAATTAAATAGTAAAAATTAGGGTTGTCAGTTATAGTCTGGCTTTTGCAATGATTTACTCATCTAGCATTTACTGAGCATTTGCTATGTTTTAGGCAATGAGGTAAGTATTGGGGGTTCAAAATGAAGAAATTATTTTTCCTGCATCAAGAACATCATTTTAGTGGAGGAGACAGATATGTAAAAAATATAGGAAGCTTGGAGTTGCTGGGAGAGTTCCACAGAAAGAGGTGAGTTTTATGCAGGTTTTTGAAGGATATGAGAAATTTAGTTGTTTACATCTTCCAGGCAGAGGAAATACTCTACCCATAGGTACATGGTTTTGAAAGGGCATGTTGTCTCCAGGGAACACTGAGAAATTCAACGTACTAGAACATAGGGTGTATACTGGTAGAAGGCAGAGGTGTAGGTTGGAATACAAGGAAGCACCATGAAGCTGTAGGTGGAAGAGTAGGAAATTATAGCCACATTAGGATGGATTTTAGAAGACAAATTAAAAATTTTAGATTCTTTAAGGAACAGGCTCTCTGTAAAGACTAACTTTGGCAGCTTGTGGTTAGATTTAACTGAAGTCAGACTGGTGGTGTGGGAATCAGTAAACACTATTGTAGCAGTCCAAAGGACAACCAATAGTCTGAACTAAGGCACTGCTGGTGGTGGTGGTATGGAGTGATTGGTTTGAGAAACATTTCTAGAGACAAATGAACGTGGAAAAGAGGGAAAGGGGATGATCAACAATATCTGTTAGGCAGCGAAACTTTTTTTTTAAAATATATCTTTATTGATTTCAGAGAGAGGAAAGGAGAGGGAGAGAGAGAGATAGAAACATCAATGATGAGAGAGTCATTGATCGAGCCCCCAACCCGGGCATGTGCCCTGACCGGGAATCGAACCCCGATCGCCTGGATCCTAGGTCGACGCTCAACTGCTGAGCCAGGCAGCAAAACTCTTAATCAGGATTGACAACATAACTACCAGGCAAATCTATACGGAAGATGATGAATTCAGTTACGAGCATGTTAAGTGTAAGGTATCTGTAGAGCTTACCATGGATGATGCCTTTATGTCATCTGCAGAATAAACTAGTGATGCCTATATGTCACCTGCAGAATAAACTAGTCTGCATAAATTGGCCCCTCTTAACTATTTTAGCTAAGTTTTGACAACTATTTGGCATTTAGCTGTTTCTCCCTGCCAAGAATTTAGCCATGTCCATGGTATATATAATAGCGTATTAGATTGTAAATAAAGAGGATTGGGAGGTAGACACCTGATTTTATCATAATATCCATTTATTGTGAATACTGTGGTAAACTATTAATATTTTTCTTTTGCCAATGTTCATTTTGTAGACTATGCATAAATATAATCTTCACTTGATACCATTCACAATGGTGTAGTTTAAAGACAGAAAGATACGTAGACATTGGGGTCTCCCCCAAATATAAAAATATATAATAAAATTCATTTTTATGTAGTTCCGGACAAATGAACAGGGAAGTCTGGGCCAAATTCTGATATAGAAATGGTCTTAGCCACTCTTCCATCTCCTTCTTTGATGTTCTGTCCTCCGACGTCAGCACCCTCACTCAGCCTTCCTTCTTTAGTCCAGTGCCCTCAGTTTCCCATGGCCAAGGTATATCCTTGCCATCCTCTCTCTCGTGAGGTATCCTAGCTAATACCCAAAATCTTTAGGGACTACAGTGTTCACTGGCTAGCCTAAGAAATATATACGCCCTAATAAATATCTCAACAATATATTTAACTATTTTCTTAAAAGAATTTTAAGAAATTATTGATAAACTGGGACCAAGCAGAAAATCAAATTAAACAAGAACCAGATCCAATGATGTTTTATAAACTATACCTTCTAAAATAATACATTAGATTTTTTTCTTATTGGCTCAATCTTAATGTTATTTAAGTAATTATGGTGTAGAGTATGATCTGTCTTATTTTTAAATTTATACTTTATTTTACTTCAGAGTCTGAATCTACATGGAAACAGCTTGAGTAAACTAAGAGATCTCTCCAAGTTAACAGGACTTCGAAAACTTAATATCAGCTTTAATGAATTTACTTGTTTAGATGATGTATACCACTTGGTAAGAACTATTCTTTTGAAATTATTTAAGTAAAACAGAATTATTAATTTAATGGATAAATTATGTTTGTAATTATGGCCTCATATATACCATATTCAAGATTATATAGCCCAGATCAGGAACAAAACACACATACCCTATACTATGTTACTTTCTCTAAAATAGGTCTTAGATTTAGATTCCATTTGCAAAGCAAGTATATACCTGTGGTCATATCTGATTTCTAGCTACTTTAAAATAAGTTTATTAAAATTATTCCAGACTTTTAAAAATATCCTTTGGAGTCCAGCTGTGTGCTCAGTGGTTGAGCATCAGAGCTTGCACCAAGAGGCCGTGGGTTCAATTCCGGGTCGGGGCACAGGCCTGGGCTGCAGGCTCAATCCCCAGTAGGGGGCATGCAGGAGGCAGCTCATCAATGTTTCTATCTCTCCCTTCTCCCTCTCTCTCTTTCTCTAAAAATCAATAAAAACATTTTTTAAAAATAAAAATATCTAAGACTTTAAAAAATGTATATCCTCTAGATAGTGTCGTTTCCATTTTATTCTGCTCTCACTACTTCACATCTAATAGTGTGAATTCTTCCCGTCTGTCCATTATCCATGTGATTTCTTTTCCTCTCGGCCTTGTCCTTTCTACCTGAGTGTCACATGCATAGTTCTTGTTTGACCTGTGTTTGCCTTCTCATAGTTCACGGGAAAGTACAGTAATGCTCATATGCACATCAGTTTGGATCTTGTCTGGCTTCTGCTTTCCTGTTATATACTATATAACAAAACTAATTACATGTGTGGTTCTGTTACCAGTGGAATGGGGTACCCCTTTCCCCACTGACTGCTGGGGGTGGAGTCCTTACCATATCATGAGAAATAGAATTTTCTGAGGCTCGCACCAGAGGATGAGTGATTTTTATTTGCGTGGAATTACATCCCTGGGTTTTCAAAGTCCCATTTCCCTTAATCCAGTCCTGGAAGGAGTGTAACTGGGGTTTCAGTAGAGCTAAAAGCAAAGCCAGTGTCCAGAGTGTCTGCTCCATGTTACAGTTGGGTCCTGTTCAGCATCAGCATTTACCAGTTTTGAAGATAATGAATTGATTCCTTATAATTTCCCAAAGATAAGCAATTTACTTCTTGTTTGTTTGTTTTAAGATCATTAGGAATGCAGGAACTTAAACATGTTTGATGAGAGTCTATCCATTGCAGTGACTGTCCCAGTTGAAGTTCAAGTTCTCTCGTCCTCAGCCAGGGCAGCCTCTTAAAGTTAGCTCCCTTTGCCATGACTAGTGGTCTTTGATAGCTTCTTCGCCACCTGGTATGAAAGATGCTTCACACACATTTTATGCATTTGCTGTTGCAGCATGGGATCAGCCATTTCTTCAATAATCCCTAGTTTCCTTTAGAGAGAAATGGTATTTCAGGACCACACTCTGGGTTGGTCATTGTTTCTAGGTCTTTCCATTGGATAGAACTTGTTGCAGGTGAGGGGTGTGCATATATAACTGAAACTAATCTCATCAATTTACACTGATATTTCCAATTCAGATTCAAGAATGCAAATCTTTTTGTTTAACTCTCCTCTGTTACTTACATCTCTACCTTCTTTCTCCCCATCATGAACCCTGACGCTCAAGGATACAAGGTGGCAGAATGTTTAATAATTAATTACTCATTTGTTTTATCCCCTATGATACACAAAGTAGTCTCAGGATGACTGTGTATGTTCTCTTCATTCTCCTCAGTTTAAAAAATAACTAAAATCATCACACTATATCCACCTTGTCAGAGCATGTAGCCTTACACTGTGCAACTCTCCCTTGAAGTTAATTGGTAACTATATATTTAATTCTCATCATCAGGCCTTAGGTTGGTATCTCTCTAGACATTTTGATTGTCTGAAAAGTATTCTATTATAGATTCCTCAGGAAGGGCTTATGAAAACAATATCCCTTCAGTTACTGCAAGTCAATAATAGTTTATCTACGTCTTTTATATTTAAAAGGCAGTTTTGTTAGCTATAAAATCCTTGGCTTACAGTTTCTTGGGCATATTAAATGTTATTTCATTTTCTTCTGTCATAAAGTGTTGCTATAGGAAAGCCTAAAGAAAATGTATAATTGATTTAATTTTAAAAGAATGTTTCTTAATACTTTTTTACTGCCAAATATTCTTTAGTTCAAGAAATGATAGTTTTTTATGCTTAATCATGGGAATAAAAAGTCAGTAACACTATTTGGTTTCCAGAACATTTGTTTAGATTTTAATGACCTGTACATTCAACTCCTGAAATCTGAACCACTATAATAATGCTATTCCAACAATATGAACTATGCATTCTATAGCAATGACTAATTCTATGCTAAATTCAAACAATTGTTTAAATTAAGCTGTAAATACATCAATTCATTTTTAATCTATAGTAATATTATTTTTATCATAAAATATGTTGCAAAATACCTTCTTAAAGTTCTCTTTATCTCTTTCTTGTTCTGTATCTAAGTTAGTGTATACCTATGAAAAAATTTACTTGCAACAAATGCAAGTAACAAAGTTTTAAAGACTTCTTACAAATAAGTAAGATGAAGCTCTGGCTAAATAAATGGCCATAGACATGAAGCACAATAAATGAAAACAAAGAAGAAATTTGAAAATGGCTAATATAAAGAAATGGAAAGATGTTTGACTTCACTGGTAATAAACAATGTAAATTAAAATGAGGCAGGTGGATTGATAGGTATTTAAAGAAATGGGTGTTCTCATATTCTACTGTTGGAAGAAGAAAAAAATGGTACAAACTTCCTTGAAAACTATTTGGCAGTTATTTATCAAAAGTCTTAACAATATAGAAATCCTTAAAAGCAGTACACCCATTTCTAAAAAGCCCTTTCCAAAAAATATCAGCTTCTCAGTTAAAGTATCATGATCATGGTCTTTGGTTGCCAACAATGGGAGCCACTTAAATGTCCACAGAAAAATGTTTAAAGCAATCCTAATAGTTCACATATTAGACTATTATGCAATCGTTAAAAATAATTTTGAAGAGCATTTAATGATAATGTGAACATGTTAAAATGATACAAAATTCTAATACAATCTGTTTTGTACAAGAAAAAATATATATGTCCATATAATAAAAAACAATGTTTTCAGCCATTCTTTCTGAGCAATATAATTATGTTTTCTATTTTTACTTTGTACCTATTTATTGTAGTTTCCAAGCTTCCAACAGAGAACATATTACTTTAATGATTTTTCAAAATTATTATTAAAAAGCATGCACTTTTGAATAAGAAAATCATAGAATAGGTTTGGTTTCTACCTCTGAAGATAAACCTTTTTAAACCTAGCTATGGGTTCAGTAGTATAAACCAAAAGCCTAAAGAGTAAGACATGTAATTCCTTGTTTGTGGGGGACAAATTGTTTCCCCAGTTTTTCTTTGCCTTCTCTTCTCTGAAAACAAAGAGTGCCACTCTATGTTATAAGGGTGAATGGAGCGACAATGAAGGGAAATGACTAAAATAAAACACCCGTAGCTCTTCAGGAGCATGAGTACATTGATACCACGACTGCAGTGTAACTACTGTTTAGGTTTCCTGTGAGGATTATCGAGAGCACGTGGGATACTTAGAGGATCAGAGAGGAAAGAACTACATCAACACAAACCACATCCCCTCGGCATCACTTCCCTTTGTATGTATTGCAGTATAACCTTGAATATTTGGATGCGAGCCATAACCACGTGATAACCCTTGAGGGATTTAGAGGCCTGATGAAACTGAAGCACTTAGACTTGAGCTGGAATCAACTAAAAAAATCTGGCGATGAAATAAATATATTATGCAAACACACCACAAGCCTTCTCACTCTTGACATCCGACATAATCCGTGGCAAAAGGTATGCAACAGACATGTTATAAAAAAGCAAACAATTATTGTTATTTCAAAGCCATTTTCTCACTAGTATTCAATGATAGCCAGAAATAGGCAAACTATCTTTGTTGTAATAGAATTCCTTAAATTAAATTTATTGTAGTGATCAAATGAATCAAATGTTACTATAAAAAACGCTGTAATTTCACATCAGAATTTTTTGTAATCTCTAATAGTTTGAGAGCATTATGGCTTTAAGAGTGTTAGATGTCATTGCCATTTGCAAATCTTCAGAGAGTTTATGTAGCTCAGTGTGCTGGAACTCTACTGTAATAAGGCAAAGGAAACAACAATAATAGAATTACAGGGAAAGAAACATACTATTAAGGGGAAAACAAATTTGTCATCTCCCCTAATGTGTTCTACTATAAAAAAAAATTGAACACTTTTTTCTCATCAAGAAATACATAGCTTCATGCTAAGAAATTTCAGTACCCAATGATTCTATTTAAGTGTATCTCCAAGTATTTAAAACAAGCCCCAGGTTTATAGTTTCAGGAACCCTCCTTTCTTGCTTTCCAAAAATGTATATAAGACTGTGCAACATTTTTAAAGCATGACTGGTTTATTCAATTGACTATATGACTGTTTATACTGTTGTATTTCTCCTATTTTGCTCTGTAAAGTTAAAGGATATTTTTCTTTTGCCAAAGCAGACCACAGTACAGCTATCTCCCTGTTGCTGAATTAAATGTCAAGGGCTGAAGATCCGTGTTGAATCACACTCGTAGCTGACTAGCTGCCGGCTGATCTAGATAAAAAGGAGGCACTGCAGTTGTTCTTTGAACACTTTCACCAGTCACTTTCCAACAGCTTATGGGATTTCCCCCCTTCATAGGAGTAGAACCATCCACCTCCAAACAGAACAGATTAATTCATAAATATAATTTAATTTTGACTATTATGTAAAGAATTAAGTTAAGCCGTTATTTTCAAATGTACATTAAAATAAAAGATGCATAATTCTGAGTCATATGGGAAAGAATGAAGAAGCACTCCTGTCCATGCCATAACATATGTAATATTTTGTAAAAATTAACTTTTTGTTATTTTTCCCAAGCCAGCCACATTAAGGCTGAGTGTTATTGGCAGATTAAAGACACTTAATCATTTAGATGGACTCCTAGTTTCTGAGGAAGAAGCAGCAGCAGCTATGAAATTTATTAGTGGAACAAAGATTACTCAGGTTAGATTTTACTATTTAACATTTCTTGTGCTATTCAGAATATACAAGTAGTATTTCCCATATTCTTGTTTTGTTATTAAGATTTTATATCCTCTTAGCATGCTAATAAAAAATATCCCATTTAACTCTCTATAAATAAGGTAAGTTAGAGGCCATGAGAAATCATTTAGTGAATTATCTACCTACTATGGATGTTACATGTTTGTGGTTGAAAAAAACAAAACTATTAATTTGAAGGAGAGGAAAGGCCTATATTAACCAGATTAATAATGCTATATTTTGGACAAAGTAGCTTCAACATCCTAAATATCTCCAGTCTAGTTTTTTAACTATTTACTTTGTGTGAGGCATTTAAATATTACTTCCTTAAGCAATGTAATGTTTAATTTTGGATCTATTAAAAATGAAGGAAATAAACTATTTTGTTGATTAAAAATACAATTAACTCCTGAAGAAGAGTTGGGAATTTACCCTACCAGAAATAAAAACTTACTAAAATCCTTTAAGACAATGTGGAATTGTCACAGCATTAGACAAACAGACCAAAAGAACAGAATATAAAGACCCAACATTGACCCACACATACATGGAAACTTGATAAATAACAGAGCTGCCTTTACAGACCAATAAAAAGCACTGAGACAAATGCATTAAGAACTTCGCTGTAAAAATAAAAACCAAAATGTTTTAGAAGAAAATATAAGAGATTATCATTATGACCTTGATTTGGGAAGAATTTATTACACAAAAAACAAAGAGCATAAAACTATAAGAGACTGGATTTTTCTATGTTAAAATTAATACATCTGTTCCTCAAAGGGCACACCAGGATGAAACTGAAAAGAAATTTGTACTGAGAAAAGAAATTTGCAACACATCAAACAACCGATATTCTTTATGTGTCCAGAATATATCATGAAAAAGACAACCCATCAAACAAAAAAATGGGCAAAAGATTTAAACAGACCCTTCCCTAGAGAGCAAATCAGAACAGCCAAATAACTTAGGAAAAGATGCTCCATCACATTAGTATTCAAGAAAATGAACATTAAAAGTGCAATGATCTACCAATTTACAGCCACCAATTGGCAAAAATTTTAAAGCCTGACAATATCAAGTTTCAGCAAAGATCTGAAGTAACGGTTACAATTGGTACAACTACTTTGCAAATACAATTTGGCATTATCTACTAAAGCTGAATATGTATATACCTGGGTATATATTTGTATATAATGTATACACCAGGGGTCATGCACAACAATATTCATGGCAAGAATGTTTATAATAGCAAAAAAACTGAAATTAGCCCTAATGTTCATTAACAAGAGAGTTGACAGGAAATGCTATATAGCAATAATATCTGGATGGTCTACGGCTACATGCAGCAGCATAGATGAATCTCATGAATATAATGTTGAGCAGAAAAGAAAGTCATAGAAGACTTCATACATATTAATACATAAAGTTCAAATATGTGCAGATGAAATGATACATTGTTTACAGACACAAACATAGGTCAATAAACAAGCAAATGGTAGATACAAATTTGAGATCATTTGATCATTCCTTAGGGGATCAATTGATTCACTTAAGTGGTGGTGTCTGAGGAAAAAGATTAGGATGGGTAGTAGGAATATTCTAGCTCTTAAGCTGGTTTCATGGATGGATTATATGGGTGTTTGTATTACAGTATTCCTGTCACAGTTTTATAAATATTATTTGTAATGGTTAAATATCTGCTAAAGAAACCAGAGTGAAACACATAATTTAAGGTTTATCTAGACATTGAAAACATTTTAAGGCAAAGGAAATGTCATATTTTGAAATTATTTGTTGGGCTACTCATCCAGGACATAGTCCTTTTAACTATATATAAACAAACTTCTATATGCCATTTCCTTTATTCATCATATGTTTTTTATTTAATTAGGTATCTGTCTTACGGCATTCTAGCATTAAAGAGGAGAGACCACGGATACTTAGTATATGGCCTTCTGCCAAAATTCTGACACAGATTTCAAAGTTAGGACTACATTCACATCTGAACGGAAACTGGTACTTGAAGGTAAAGGCTAATTCTATGAAACCCAATAAACTTAATTTCAATTGATTTTTAGTTATCTTTGGTCTGTATATCATAAAGAGGACACAGATAGGTAAGGTGCAGAAAATTGGAAGAGCTGAATTAAAATTAAATAGGGAGGTCAAGTTGTGCATAGTTATGTCATGGGGGCTAGGCCTTGATGGTAGTCACCATAGAATTGGAAATTTCACATAAAGGCAGACTACAAAACCAAAGAGTAGATTCTGATAAGATGTCAAAATAAGCAAGCAAACTTTAAAGCTCAGAGTCAGAGGTCAAACCAAAAGTTTGGGTGGCGAGGTAAAAGGAATCAAAATTCCTGGCAAGGGACTAGGGGAACTAGTCAGAACTCAGCCAAGGATACAGGAAAAAGTTCCGAGCACCAGCAGCTTCTTGCTGCATAAAACACCCTTATAGATCTTGCCAAAGACAGAAACTGGCAAATAAAAGCTGAACCTTGAAAACGGAAGATATTAGTGGCATTATTTTTATTATGGGATATATACAGATATTTCGCTGTGATGCAGGTCCAGTGACAGCCTCGGCTGACCACACAGGGAGTTCTGGAATTAGAATGGCCCTTTAAATTTGTTCCAAGTTGGGCTGAGATGGCAGGCCTTTCTATCCCTCTGTCATTGGATGTGGGCCAACCTGGGATGGAGTGTGACCTTGGTCAAGGCAGCTCTCTGCAGCTGAGGCTGTCCCCGAAGGGGCTGCCAGCTGAAAGCTTTCTGCCAACAGCATTCCCAGCAGCTGGGACAAGTCCCTCGCTGCAGTGGGAATCTGACTGGCCCAGCACAAAGACCATATACCGTATAAGTCCCTCTTCAAGTTGTAACCTTGTCAAATTTTACTTTTTTGTAACCTAAGGGTTTCACAATATCTTTATTGTGAAAGAATTCCTTTGATGTTACCACATTTGAATTATTTCCCTAATCATTTTATCTTATACCACTGAATTTATTGATGAGATTCAGAAGTAACATATAATATGTTAATTATTCTACAGATAACTGCCTTGAATTTAGATGGGCAACATCTCTTTGAAATCACAAATTTAGAAAAATTGGAAAATTTGAAATGGGCATCATTCAACAACAACAACCTCACGAAAATGGAAGGCTTGGAATCCTGTGTTAACTTAGAAGAGCTCACATTAGATGGAAACTGCATCTCAAAGATAGAAGGTAAGGAATTTGAGAAACTGAAAGTCTTAGAAAATGAATGTCTAATTGACAGGAGCAAAAAATGAGTAATACTAAGGATCCAATTTCTGAAGAGAAAAATCTCTAGAGAAGTTCCAAGAAGGTTTGGCGCAGAGTATTCTAAACACTCTCAGTGGGATCAGTGACCACCTACTGCATATAATGAGCCCAGCTACCTGACTTTCACCTCTCCGCCCCCTCTCCTCTCCTCTATGCCAGCGTTCACCATCTATTACCAAACCCAGCACATTACCATCTAGGCAGTAATTGATATTTGTAGAGTTGAAAGAAATGAATGAATGAACGAGGTCCTTTTTTAAAAGATAATACAGCCCAGTTCATTTTTCAAAGTATGGAATTAAGGTTACATTTGGAAATTTGAAGACTTTAACAAAAATGAAAATTTTATTCACAAGAAGCTGAAAATAAAATGTACTATATAACCTTTTATATGGATCCACATGCAAGTACAGTGAAGCAGCTTTATTACTGTCTGGATATGCACACACGTGCGCGCGTGCACACACACACACACACACACACACACACACGTATCGAATATTTCTGAATGTGTATTTTAGTAACAGGGCTGCCCTTGGTGAGGACAGAAGGTAAGAACTGGAAATCGTGGCTGGAAAAAAGACTTAATTTATACTCTATTCACTTTTGAATTGTTGGGTTATTTTTAGCATGTGTGTATACTACCTTCTTCATAAAATAGAAAAGTTTATTTCAAAAAATTACATATGCAAAAGCAAATATTAAATATCTTTTAAAGCAGCATGTATGACATTTGTTATACTTTATTTTAATGGCTGTTAACAATATATTTCTAAAACTTGCTTGAGCGTAAGAATCACTTGGGATACTTATTGAATATACAAATTCACAGGCCTCTGTAGATTTCAGTTGAGTAAGCCTGAGGGTAGCTCAGGCATTTGTGTTGAGAACCATCACTAGTCTTCCATTCCCATAAGCAGGGCGTTGTTGTGCTTTGTATATACAATTGAAACCCTATTTCCTTTTTACTCCCTTCCATAATCCCACTGAGGGGAAAAATCCCCCAACCTATACCCACTTTCTCTATATCCACTTTTCAGAGAAGACAGCTACCCCACTAAACTTTAACAGATATTTCTCTTCATTTTTCCAGACATAGATAGGTTCAATATCCATTTAAGGATTTCTGCCCTGATGGTTTTATCCTAACATGCCCTAGGTGGATTTACTTCCAGCGTTGCACAGTCCACGATAGAAGCTGGTGTGAAAGGGGAGTGGATAAAATTTACTGAGGACCAATTATCTGCCAAAAGCTATAACTGATGTTTTTCAAATGCCATTCCATTTAATTCCGTGGCCCCTTGGAAGTAGATTTCAGAATGTCCATGTTGTGGGGGAGGAAAATGAGTCTCAGAGGCTACATCCTTTTACATGATTTACCTACGGCCCAAACCAACTTTGACACATTTGAAACCAACTTTGACTCCAAAGTTCTTGTCTTTCAACTGCACCTTCCTACCTCTGGTTAGAAAGTGCCTACACTACATAACATACACAGGAGTTAGATGGTGGTGAGAGGTGGCATTTTTTAAAGTTCTGTCTAGAGTATTTTTAATCATACAAAGGTAGAATTAGCCTAATTGGTTCTTTTTAATACAAATGATGCCACAATGAAGAATACTTGCCAGAGTATTGTGCTCCAGCTCCTTACCCTTGTTTTAAAATGGGGGCTGGTGACTGTCTCTTAGCTTTGTGTAGAGCTTTGTGTTACTGTGATGGTGAAAATCTTAATTATACCACTTGAAGGTTATTGGAAGGCAAAATTTAGTATTTCCTACATAATTCCTTCCCTTACCAGCTAATGAGCCTACTTAGAAATTCAAAATTGGAATTTAATACATTAGCTGGGACTTGATACACACGATATCCTTAAGTGAAAGGAAAAACAATGATGGTTAATATTATAGACCATAAGGCCACTTGAATTTAGAAAAAGAGAAACAGTAAAATGACCAAATTTTTTTTAAATTAACCTTTCAGTATTGTCTGAAACTTTTCTTGAATTTGCTTATTTTTCTAGGCATTTCCAAGCTGACTAAATTAACTCACCTCAGCATGAACAATAATCTTCTCACTGGTTTGGAAAAGCATACTTTTGATAACATGCTTCATCTTCACTCCCTTTCTCTTGAGAACAACAGAATCACTTCATTGAGTGGTTTGCAAAAAGTGTTTACTCTAATTGAATTATACATAAGCAATAACTATGTTGCTCTCAATCAGGAGATCTACAATTTAAAGGTGACTATCTGGGGTAATGTTTTTGTTTTTTAAAATATTTTTATTTTTTTGTACTATGAAGGTAATGCATGTTTACTATACAGGATTTGGAAAATATAGAAAAATGTAAAGAAGAAAACAAAAATCAAGAATAACAAGGTTTATTAAAATGTATTTGCATTCAATTTATGTGTACATACAAACACATGTATGTGTTACCATAACGTCCCCAGGTTGATAATCTCCATGGGTAAATTTTTTTTCAGTACTCAAATAAAATAACCCAAACTCCATTCCCCCTAACCAGTGCTTTCCTCCGTATTTCTAAGGATTTCCCAGCCTGAATAGGGAGTGAGATTCTTTAACATTTCCTGTTCTTGGCACAATTCTTGGTTATCTCTCACTTACTGGTTCTTACTGGTGGCTCCATCTTTCTGGTCAACTTTGCCTATCTTTGCTCTTTTTAATTCTCCCAAAGAAACCTCTAATTCCAGCTACTGTATAATAGGCTTTACTGAAAGTTTGAATAAATGGAAGTTTACTACAGTGCAGAGTAGGAATTCACTTCAGATGTAGTGTGTGACTTGATTATTTATAAAGTTGAATGGCCATTTCCTACCCCTGGAACTCTCACCACCATGGCCCCTTTTCTTTTGCTTATATGATACTAGGACTTCATCTCCTAACAAAATGTAGGCCCATTTCCCATCTTTCCTTAAGTTCAGCTTTCTCGCCTCCTACTTCCCCAATATAACTACTTCTTCTAAAGAGGCAACCTAATCAACAATAGCAACAACAAAATAAACTATTCCACATTATGATGCAGAGTAGTTTTACTCCCTCTTATCTTAACCTCTCTCAGCCATGCCCACTCAGGACCCTTCCTTCACAACAAGGGCATATCAAAATGTCTTTCTGACAGGAAAGCACATTTTCCCTTACGACGAATTCTGCTACACTCTCAGAAGGTAGGAGCACTTCGGTTTTATCCCCTCATAAGGGGGACAAAGGATATAGCTATTTCATTCTTGTTATATCTGTATACACATATACATGCTATTTAATAGGCCAGTATTCCATAAATAAAGCATATTGTTTTAAACTTATCTAAGTTCCCTCCAAGTCATTACCACTGATAGATGATACATTTAGCACCAGCATCCTAAAAAAAGATTCTGATCATTTAATTGGCCACTGAATATTGAACAACATTGGACCTTAATGCACTAAAAAGTATACTTAAAAGCACTCAAATCACTACAAAATGATAGGGTAATTCAAATATTAAAATTCAAGGATAGTTAAACTCTTAAGGAGCAGAAATTTGATATATATGTATCACTTTAAATGTATGTATTTTTATTACCCAGGGTTTATGCAACTTGGTCATTCTAGACGTGTATGGAAACATTATTGTATGGAATCAAGAAAACTACCGGTTGTTTGTAATATTTCATCTTCCAGAACTGAAAGCTTTGGATGGAATCTCAATTGTAAGTTGTTTTATGACTCAGCATTTGCTCCATATGGAATATATGCCTATTCACAGATCCACAGGCCACAATCATATTCCACATTGTTTTATCACTAGTATGATATCCAAACTTACTATGCTTATTAATATCTAGGTTTCCAAAACACACTGTAGACCTGGGTTTTAAAACTTTTTCCTCTGACCAATTCTTTTTTACCCTTTTTATTGAGTTTATTGGAGTGACACTAGCTAACAAAGTTATACAGGTTTCAGGTGCACAATTTTACAGCACATCATCTGTATATTGTACTGTGTGTTCACCACCCTTCTCTGGCCATTTCTTAATCATCTAAGTTGAGGTGGCAGTGGGGGGAAGATGCTGCTTACATTTGTACCCACTGATTCAATGCCTAAAAAGTAAAGAGCACAATTTTATGGGACAGGATAGAAAAAAAAAACTGCTTTGGAGCCCTACCAAAAATCTGCTCTGGGGCCTAAAAATAGCTTCCTATTCCCTGGAAAAATACAGTTGTTATATTTAAGAAAAATAAACTTGAACCAACAAATAATATGTCAACATTATTAGTGAACAGTAAAGAAAAATTACTCAGGACTAAATATGAAAGCAATATTTGGAAACTTGGATTCTATAACAACTGTGTTAGTACAGGGCTCCTGGTTTCCATGTAACAGGGTGAGTGCATGACAAACAACGGAAGAATATAAAGGCTCCCTGTGTAACACTGCCTAGCTCCTGTCAAACAATAAAATTCATCAAGTATTCTAGAAAATTGAGAGAGAGTTCATGATTATTTGGGACCCCAAGGTGCTCTGAGAAGATAGCTAATTCTAGCCTTTTTGGGGATCCTCCTCAAAATGGAAAATCAAAAACATTCTTCCCCAACACAGACAAATTCTCTAGAATCTTGTACACTGGGTTTTATTTAGGTATCGCCTTTCATTGAGGGATGTTTTAAAATAGACTTATGAAACTAGTATTGCATTTGCTCTAATGATGTTGGTGAGGATCTTATCCTTCCTATCTCTCTGTGCCCTCATCGAAGGACCACATGAGAAAGTGCTTTTAGAAATAAGTGTAGGAAAAACTTTTTGCCTTAAGAAAAAGTTACACTCTACTCACTGACAATGAGTGTTATTTAACTATTTTCCTTTCACTTTGTCTACCTAAAAGATCAGGGCCAAATTTATGGTTCAGTACCCCAAAACCCTGTAGGATTCATGGTCTATCTGTCCCTAGCCCAGTTCTGATCTATTCTAACTTAGATCATTCTTGGTCCTGATCTTCACTATTTATTATTTTCATTTTACTGTTGGATTATATGTGCTTCCTGTAAGCCGCCACAAATTCTCATGGAATGAGGTAGAGTATAAACATATGAATTAATAATGGAACATGAAGACAAGACTGAATAATTTAGACTTTGAGACATAATGGGAGGGCATCAAAGATTGAATAGGGGGAAAACATATTCAAAACTATGTATTAGGAAATTTAACCTAACAGCAGTGTTTACAGTAATAGATTTTGAAAGACCAATAGGAGACTGTTAGAATAGTCTACATGTGAGGTAATAAGAACCTGAACCAAGGGGAATTGACTTTAAAATGGAGAGCTGAAAGGTATGAGAAATACTGGGGAGAATTGACAGAACTTAGCAACCAACTGGATTTGAAGGACAAGGAAAGGGAAGAGTACAAGGTCTGAGTCTATACCGATAAGAAATATCGTAACAGGAATATGAATATAAGAAAAGCAGTTTTCCGAAATAAGATGATTAGTGTTGAACACATTAAGTTTTACATGATAGTGGATCATCTGACTGGAGATGCCAAGCAAGAGGTTGGAAACAGGACAAATTTAAATATGGAAATTTAATTTACATTTGTTTAGATTTGGAAGTAAATTGAAGAAAGTTGATAGTTAAAACCAAAAACATATGTAAGGTCGTCTAAGGTAAGAGGGTAGAGAAAGTAAATAAATCCAAGTTAGGCTTCCATTTAGGAAATTTAAAGAGGAAAAGAAGTTACAAAAAGTAGGTGCAGAGGGAGATAGAAGAGCAATATAATTCTAGAGTTTTTAAGATATAAATGGACATGGACTTTAGAAATGACATAATCCAAATCCTTTATTTTATAGATAAGCACAAAGAATTCCAGAGAATTTATTTTTTATTCATTCATTTATTTATTTTATTTTATTGTTGACAATATTACAGATGTCCTCCAATTTTCCTCCCCATTCCTCCACTCCTCTCAGCCCCTGCCCCACCCAGGCCTTCACCACACTATTATCTGTGTCCCTTGGTTATGTATTTATATATAAAAGATCTGTGGTTAATCTCTTCCTGTCTCCTCCCCCCTCCCCTCTGAGATATGTCAGTCTGTTCCATGCCTCCATGCAAGAACTCCAGAGAATTTATATGACTTATTCCAAGTGACATGACTCTTTACTTGTAAAGCCTAGACAGCTGAGCCTCCCTCTGTCCAGGGCTCTTTGGACATATAATCACAGTGCCTTCTCTGGAGTGGGAGTCAAGGGAGGACATAGACTCTTTCTACATACTTCTATTTTTAAAATACTTTTACAAGAAAAGTACAGAAAAAGATTGCTAATTCCTGATTTAGAAAGACATTAATCAAATGTTATTTTTATGATTATGAAAGATGCAAAAGCAATGCTATTCCTAAGGCTGAATTAATGTTTTTTAAACTTATTTTGAGATTGTATCATTCAGGGTTCAACCAGAAACACACAACTAGTAGGAGATATATGTGTGTGTGTATGTACATTAGGAGATTTGTTACAAGGAATACTTAATTGTGGAGGCTGCCTAAGCAAGTCTGAAATCTAATGGGCAGACCATCAGGAAAGGAAGATTATGGACAGTTCATTGTCATGGACCAAAGTTGCCTTCTGTAGGTGGATTTCTTCTATGTTTCAAGAAAGTTTCAGCTCTACTTTTAAGTCTTTGCAGTTGCTTGAATCAGGCCTACCCAGTTTATCCAAGAGGATCTCCTTATTGAAAGTCAACAAATTAGGAGTTTTAATTTAACTTGCAAAACCCCTTCACAGTAATACCTACATTAATGTTTGCTAGAACAACTAGAGACTGTAGCTTCACTTACTTCATAGCTCTGTTGTTTGATGCATACACCTTTAGGATTGTTGTGTCTTCTTGGTAGAATGACCCTCTCATCAGTACGTAATGTTCCTCTCTGTCCCTGGTCATTTCCTTTGCATTTAAGTCTGTTTTATCAGATATTAATATAACCGCTCCTGCTTTCTTTTGATTAATGTTTGTGTGGTATATCCTTTGCCATCCTTCTACTGTCAACCTGCATATAGCATTATATTTGAAATTAGTTTCTTGTTGCCATCATACAATTGGGTCATATTCTTTTCTCCACTGCCAACTCCTAGCTTTTAAATGGTGAGTGTAGACCATTTCCATTTAAGGTGAGTGCCATAGTCTGCCATTTTATTTTTTGTTTTGTTTGTTTCCTCTATCTCTCTTCTGTTTTCTTTTTCAGAAAGATAAAGCTTCCTGCAAGTTACTTGAACATTTTATAATTTTTTTTTTTTTAGTATATCTCTTTATATAGAATTTTTTTTACTCATTGCTCTAGGCATTGCATTTCATATACATAACTTATTATAGTCCACTAGTGTTTACATTTTTACCAATTTAAGTGAAGTATTAGAAATCTTACTTGCTTTTAAGTCTATTTCTCCTCTTTTATTGCCTTAAATATATCCTCTCTATATATTAAGAGCCACATCAGATAATATTATGATTTTTTTACTTCAACTGATCAAATATAATTTAGAAAACTCAAGAGTAAAAGAAAAATCTATTGTATTATATCTTCCCAGGATGCTTTCTTTTTTCCTGGTATTTATTCCAAGCCGCTTCTTTCTTTCTTTTTTTTCTCCTTGTTTCAAGAACTTCTTTTAGCTATTCTTTTAAGGTAGGTCTGCTGTCAACAAATTTGCTTAGTTTCCTTCATGTAACAATGTCTTAATTTCCCTTTTATTTCTGAATGATATTTTCTCTGGATATAGATAGGATTCTGGGTTGACAGTTCTTTTCAACTAAAAGAATGTGACACAACATTCTCTGGTTTTCACAGTTTCTGATGAGAAACCGGTTATAATTCAAACTTTTCTTCTTAGAGGTAAGATTTCATTTCTCGCTCACTGCTTTCAAGATTTTTTTTCTGTCTTTAGTTTTCAGAAATTTGATTATGGTTATGTGTCTTGACATGGATTTAGGGGGTTTCCTCTTTGGGCATTTGCTCAGCTTCTTGAATCTGTAGATTCATGCTTTTTCCAAAGTTGGAGAAATTGCAGCCATTATTTCTTCCAATATTTTTTCGGCCCTATTCTATTCCTCCTCTCTTCTAGAAATCCAGTGTTATTAATGTTAATTCTTTTGTTACAGTTCCACGTGTTCAGAATGTGGTCTATCTTGATAAGGTGAAGCTCATTTGTTTTAAAATCTGTTTTCTCTCTTTTGTTGAGGTTGGGTAATTTCTATTGTTTTGTATTTGAGTTCACTGATTCTTTCCTCTGTTCTCTCTATTCTGCTGTTAAGCCCATCAATTGTGTTTATTTGGTTATAGTATTTTTCAATTCTAAAATTTCCATTTGGTTTTTCTTTATATCGTCTATTACTTTGCTGACACTTTTTATTTCTTTACGGAGAGTTTCTATTTATTAATTTGTTTCAAGCATGTTCGTAATTGCTCACTGAAGCATTTTTGTATGGTTGCTTTGAAATCCTTGTCAGGTAATTGTTAGAATTTTATATAAAAGAAATAATTATAATTATTTCTGATTAATTGGCTTCCCCTTTCCTAGTCTTTGACCAGAGGAAGCAGGCTTTTTGTGGACTTTTTGTTTTCTCTTATTGGCATTTTTTGACTTCTGGCTTCTCTAGCACCTAGTGCAGCATATATGAGGCAAAAAGAAAACCCAGGTCTAAAGGGAAAATTCACTTCTGTTATTTTCTTTACTTTTACACCACTATCACACAATACTTCTGACACCAAATGTGCAGGTTTTTCACACATCAAGCAATTCTCCAAAACCAGGTGTGTGAACCTGGTTCTAACACTATCCACCTGGAGATGGCATCAGATCCCATCAGTTCCCCAGTACGGCCCCACCCCCATTTCACATGCCTGTCATAAGCTGTCGCTTGTGCTTCTCAGTAGCTGGCTGTAAATAGGAGGTTCACATGACCTCCTGCTTAGGTTTAATTAATTTGCTAAAGCAGTTCATAGAACTCAGTAAAACATTTACTTATTAGATTACTGACTTGTTTTAAAAGGTTATAACTCAGGAACAGCCTGATAGAAGAGACACATAGGGCAAGGTACAGGGAGGAATGAAGCTTCCATGCTCTCTCTGAGCACACCACTCTCCCGCACCTCCACATGTTCACCAACCCAGGAGCTCTCAGAACCTCCTCCTTTTGGGTTCTTATGGAGGCTTCACTGTGTAGGCATGCTTGATTAAATCATTGGCCACTAGTGACTGATTCAACCTATAGCCCTTCCACCCTCCCTGGAAGTCAGGAGGTAGGACTAAAAATTCCAGCCCTCTAATCATGGTTGGTTGCCCTGCAACCAGCCCCCATCCTTAGTGACTTTCCAAAAGTCACTCATTAACATAAATTCAGGTGTGGTTGAAAAGAGCTTGTTATGAATAACAAGACACCTTTTGCCTTTGTGGTTCTGGAGCTATTTCAGGAACCTATGACAAAAGACCAAATATAACAAAAGATGGCCCTATAGCTCTTATATAGGAAATTGCAAGGGTTTTAAGAGGTATGTGCCAGGAACAGTGAAGATAAAATATATATTTCTTATTATAAATCACAGTATCATAGTCTATCCCTAAAGGATCTGATCTGTCTTTGAAAACAGATCTTTTACAGAAAAATAATCATAAAATTCAAAAGATACTAGCATATAACTACAATCCCATCTAGTCATTATCCAGTCCATAATCATATAAAAATTTCTCCCATGGTGAGGCCACTGAGATTTGCAGGTTTCCACTAGAGACCTTGTCAGCTTCCCTTAGCAGGAGTGATCTTGGAAAACAGCTTCACCCTTTCAGACATCCGGAGTAATTGAGCTAAGAGACAATATCATCTCTTGCTCTGAGCCTCTTTGAGGTATTAATGTAATATTAGATTTTCCTCATTATGTACCTATTTATTAATTCCTTTCCTCGTAACTACTATTTATCCTTTCCATTTATACTCAATCTTTTCCACCTTTGGAAGGGCCAATAGGCTCAGTCACTGTGCTGGTCTAGAGCAAACAGCAATACCAGTCTAGCAAATACCTCCCCATCAGTTCAGTGTTGTTCATATAGGCTGAGCTGATACAAGTACAGAACTAGTTGGCTATTTTTGACACCAGGCAGTACAGCTATAGTCACTGTTAACCCCCATTTTGCCAGGTGGGGTGAAGACAAAACCCACCCCATCAGGCCCTAATGAATTCTGACATAAGGTTTAAAAACTTAGTTATAGTTTCATTGCTTAGAAATCATCCCTGTTTCCAGCACTTGTTGCAGCTGTGGTCTTGTGACCACTGCATCAGGTAGGAAAAAAAGTTGAGGTGATGGAGGGAAGACGAAACAACAGTAAAATGATTATATCAACACTATCATCCTCTCTTAGCTAGAATTGCATAGTCATACCAGCATCCTTCCCCAAACTCTCTTCCCCAGATCCACCAGAAAAACAGAAAAATATAACCAGTGAGGACATACCTTTAGCCCCACTCATGTTGACATTGAGTGTGAGCATTCGTGAAGGCATATAAACCAGCCCTTCATGCTTTTATCTCCCCATGTTTTAGACAACCAATGTTTTAATTGCCCATTCCAATTCTCTATCAAACTACTACTCTTAGGAGGATATCTTTCTGCCCATCATTGAACATTATGGGCTGTCAAGTGTGTTCCTTGGTCTGGAGAAATAACAGTCAGTTGTCCAAATTATTGTAATTTCTTCTTTTCCATTTCTTTTATAGCACTCTGAACATTTGCTTTTACCACTGAGTAAGCAAAACCCAGTCCACAGTCAGAATTTATTCCTACCAAGAAACATTTATAGGGCTACCAGCCTCAGTGTGACTTTCAGCTATGTTCAGGGCCTTCCCCCAAGGGAAATCTACAATTTGGCCATCTGGCAGACAGAACAGGATTATTGGCATTTTGTGCCTCAGAGGATGCAAAGGGAGTATGTCTAGATTCGGCCCATCTCTGCATTGCTGTAGACCCCCAATGTTCACCTACTTCGTAGACCCATGTGGCCACCTTAACTAACCATAGGGGGATATCTGCTTGTCAATTCCAATTACCTTCCAAACCTAAAAGGGTGTTCTAATGGGCATCAACATGACCTACTTTAATATACCCCTCAAATTTCCATAGGGCCATGCCCCATATGGGCATCCCTTTAATAGGCCAGGTTTCCATTGCCCTCCTGCCTCACCATATGGCCAGGCCAGGAACATTGGATAAAGACCAAATGTATATTTTTTATTATAAATAACAATAATACACCAGGGAACTCACCACAATGTCATTCCTCAAGTCCCAAGGTCCCTAGCTGGTCTGTCTTCTTCTCTGTACCTTTTAGTCTCCTTATGTTTATTTTATATACAATGTGCAGGGGTTTTAGTTGTACTTATTAGGAGGAATGAGAAATGAGTCTGCTCCATTTTGACCTGGAACCAAAGAATTAAACTTATTTAGTCATCTGTAAGGGAAGACATCACTTTCTAAATGTTCTCATATATAGGACCCACCAGAGACTGAGTATGCAAAAGATTTGTTTGGTGGCAGACTAACTTCTGACATGATCGCAGAACGACAAGGACATTCAAACTTCACCCAAATGCAAGAATTAAATTGGACTTCATCATCCATCAGGTATAATTATTTATTATATGTTTTTTGACCTTATAATTAAATATGTAATTATCATTTTTCTAAGGCTTATAATTTATACATCTTATCCAAATATAACTGATAATTCAGAAGATTATCTACCCTAACTTCAAAATCTCATGCTAACTTCACCACCCTTTGAAACACTCTAATAATTTTTATCATCACACACTATGGTTAAAAATGTCATCAATCTCTTTCTAAGACCTTGTGTTTCCCTTTTCTTTTATAACCAAGCTTTTAAAAATTAGAATATACTATGTTTGTTCTTCACATTATATCAGTCTAATTAAGGCAATCTGGCTTCACTCCTCTGACACTATTTTTATGAATGTCCACTGTCCTCCTGGTTAATAAATCCCTTTATTGCCTCTCTTTTTCTTATTCTGCACTCATCATAGGCAGACATCTTTAGCCATAGTTTTAATTTATGACAGTGACCCCCAAATTTAGCTCAAACCTAGGCTCCTCACTAGGATGCTCAATTGCTTTCTAGATGGCAACTAGAAAACAACACCCACCTATTGTTGCCCAAGTCAAAAATCTATGTTATTTCTCTTTCTCCTTTGTCCTCTGTTTTTAATTAATCACCATGTTCTACAGAGTCTGTGTCTTACGTATGTCTCATAATTCCCTCCTTCTTTCCATAGTCACTGCCATTGGACTATGTTGGAAAATGAACTATTTCAGAAAGTTTTTGATCTTTTTGTTTCATATGTAACCTTCCCTGCAAGTTCAACTATTATCCATACTGCCTTCTAAGATGCAAGTTTTATCAGAAAACTTCCCTTGTCAACATTGTTCAGTGCCTTTCCATTGTCTACATAATAAAATTTAAAGTCCTTTTATACAGCATAGAAAAATCCTTTAATTAGCTGTATATTTTTATCTCTTATAATCCTTACCTCTATTGCCCCATAACTCTTTATGCTCCAGAAATTCTAAAATATTCTAGTTCTTCAGTCTCAATCATAAGATGATGTTCATGTTTCTGCCTTTACTTATGCCTGTTCCACTGCCTAGAACTCTTTTCTAGTTTGCCTAACAAATGACTAGAGATTCTCCAAGTCTTGTTTTAAGATGTTTCTGCCCTGTGAAGTAATTCCTGACTTCCCCAAATAGGTTTTTCTTTTCCTAAAATGCCATTACACCTAACTCTATTGTAGCAATTTTTCTTTATTTCAGTTTTTTTGAATCCCACTCTTCGAGGGCAGAGACCAGTGTCTTTTCATATTTGCTGCAATCTTTTCTAACATATTGTCTGCACTTAGGAAATACTAATGAAAACATGTTGAATGAATAAAAGTATGTTATAATTGCAGGGTTTAGAATTTGTTTAAAGAAGTGGCTAGGTTAAGGTTATTTAGCTTTATGCACTTCTCTATCACAACTCAAAGGAAGGTGGGAGAGTTGTAAAGCTATGGAATAGGAATCAAGCATTTTGTTTAGTTACTAAAACATCCTTACAAAGTGGAATGCAATAAAAATTTCCAGGAGATCCCACAGAAAACCCTGTTGTCAAAGATTTCACTTGCTTTCATCTTTTCTTTCCCATTCCTAACCCCTTCCTGACATTTCAGAAATAACCTATTTCACTTACATCCTCCACAGTTTACAGCCTGATAATCTTATGACTTATCATATCAACTTCACTATGATTTCATGAACATGTGAATTTATTTTTTTTAGTTTATTTTATGAAAGTGTTATGTTTATATAGTAATATATGTTTTAAAGCAATGAAATTCTATGTTATTTTTTTACATATGTGCGCCTCCAAAAAATGTATTTATCTGATCATTTGACCCATACGTTTTATATGAAGGCAATTCTTTTTCATAGCATTTGTCAGGTGAGATTTTTTTAAAAATGCTTTTGGCGTTGTACATGAGGGATTCACCTATATAATTTTCCTATTAAAATTGTAACTGTATTTACTTTGTCTAAATTCAGAACTGTGGATTTGATTCCAATAGACCAATTTAGAAATGTGTGTAATGTGAATCTACAGAACAATAATCTCACCTCATTCAGTGGATTAATCTATCTACCTAATGTGAAGGTGAGTCACTAATTTCCTTTCAAAGTTTTCAGTGTAAGCTGTAATCTTCTTTACTTTGGATTAAAATGTATTTTATGTTATTAAAGAAAAACAATATTCCTAAAGTGGTTTTTTTTCACCAAGCAAGAAAAAGTTATTTTTGTTGACCTCAGTATTATGTGATTGTCTTATAAGCAGTCAGTCTTACTCGGTGTAGGGGGTCGGCTGGAAGGCTGCCTCCATAGCGAGTGGGTATAGATGAAGCTGGAGGACACTGCAGTCCTCAAAGCAGCCTCGCTGCCTCCTGTCCTATAGCTTTACTGAGTCATCTCCTATCGTCTTTTAGGGAAACAGCAATTCCACCAGCTGAAGAGTTATTTCATCTAAGTCAGTCTTGGAGAAGTCAGTGCAGTTGAGAAAGTTAAGCAGCTTTCTAGCATCTTCATTATTTTGTTTAAAATGTTGTCATTTTCCAGCATGTCAGTTAATTTAAAAAAAAAAACATTCAAAGCCAAATCCAGACAATTTGCAATATAAAAATGTGTCATTTTAACACTATTATTAAATTGTGTTATACAGTCCAACCATTTTAATAGCTTTTGAGATGTTAATAATCTCAAACCAAAGATATACATATCAGTATTTATTTTTTAATGCCTGATTAATAAGGTATTCTTTCTGTAGGTCTTATGCCTCAATTATAATCATATTGAATCAATTATGCCCAGACTAAAGCCTCACAGTCACTTGACCAACAGACAAGTACTCTACCAGAAAGTGCCTTCAAGTGGGTATGGACAGCAAGGAACCTCAAAATTAAACAGGTACTTTTCTTTTTTTTTTACAATTATAAATAATTTTGGCTGGGAATTTTAAAAAGCAGTAAGTCATATTAATGATAGCAGTAACATACATTTAGCTTATTGTAATACTTATTTAATAGCTACATGCCAAAGATGAATTTCACAAATAAAAAGATACTCAAAATACTCCGTTGTCATTAATTTTTCCTTGCTTCCTCCATTTCACATCCATATTGTAAAAAAATAGAATGAAAAACAACTTGTATGTTTAATGACCTTGAGTTTTTTTTAATTTAGATAAAATTCACATACCATAACATTCACCCTCATGTACAATTCAGTGATTATTTTAGTATATTCACAAAGTTGTGAGACAACCATCTAAATTCCAGAACATTTTCATCCCCTGCACAAAAGAACCCCTAACCTAGGAGGATGGGCTGAGGCTTCTTTTGTTTTGCTTTTGTCTCTAAATTACTTATCTGGTTATTTAATGCCCCAGCATCGACAGAAAAGACATATTACGAAGAAGATGAGAACACACCTCCCACCTTCCTACACATTTTTGGTAGAACATAAATATAATTATATTTTATATATTATATATAAATTTTGCCTTCTCTAGACCTTTATATAATTAGAATCATATAGTAAGTAGTCTTTTGTGTCTGACTTCTTCCACTTAGCATAATTCTTTCCAGATTTATCTTTTGTTGCAAGTGTCAGTGATTCATTTTTATTGCTGAGTGGTATTCCATTATATAGATTATATGACAATTGCTTGTTCATTTACCATTGGTGAGCATTTGGGTTGTCTTCAGTTTGAGGCCATTTTGATTAAAGCTGCTATGAACATTTCATTTATACACATCCTTTATACTGGGGACTATTCATATTAGTTTTTAACAGCTTTACTGAAGTACAGTTTACATACTGTATTCACTCATTTAAGTATATCATTTTTACTAAATTTATAGAGCTGTGCAACTATTCCCACAATACAGTTTTAGAACATTTCAGTCACACCCCAAAAGGATCCTTCAGATCCCTCTGCAATCAGTTCCTTGCTCCACCTCTAGCTCCAGGAAACCACTCATTTACTTTCTATAAGGTTGTTTTCTAGACATTTCATGTAAGTGGAATCATACAGTATATGGTCTGTTCATCTGACTTCTTACCTTTCGCATAATGTTTTGACACTCATCCACTCTATAGCATGTCTTAGCTCACTTCTTTTTATGCTGAATATGTTGGGTATTCTGTACGGGTATGCCACCGTTTACCCACTCACCAGTTGATGGGCACGTGGACTGTCCCCGCTTCAGGGGTAGTATGAATAGTGCCCATATAAACATTTGTGTAGAAATATTTGTGTGCACTTATGATTTCATTTCTCTTGGGTAGAAACCTAGGATTGAAATTGATAGGTTGTATAGTAATTTAATGTTTAACATTTTAAGAAACTGCCGAACTCTTTTCCAAAGTGGTTGCGCCATTTTGCATTACCAACGATACTTTATTAGGGTTCTAATTTCTCCACATCCTCACGAACATGTTATTGTCTGTCTTTTTTATCACTCTCGTGGTCTTGAAGTGCTATTTCACTGTAGTTTTAATTTGCATTCCCCTCATGACTCATGCTATTGAGCAGCTTTTAATATGCTTATTACCCATTATTATATCTTCTTTGGTGAACTGTGTAAATCTTTTGCTTATATTTTAATTAGTTTGCTTGAATTTCTATTATTGAGTTCTTTAAACATTCTGGATATAAACCCTTAATTAAATAAATGATTTACAAGTATTTTCTCTCAATGTGTGACTTTTTATTTTCTTAGTGTCTTTTTTAAAAAAAAATTTATTTTTATAAAGTCCAATTTATCAACTTTTTCTCTAACAGATAGTGATTTTGGTATTGTACCTAAGAACTCTTTGCCTGACCTAAGGTCACAAAGATTTTTCTCATGTTTTCTTCAAAGGTTTATGTTTTGTCTCTTACATTTAGGACTATGAACCACTTAATTTTTGTGTATGTTGTGAGGTAAAATGTGAGGTCTAAATTCATCTTTTTGCATGTGGTTATCTATTTGTTCCAGCACATTTAAAATACTATTCTTTCCTCCACTGAATTGCTTTGGTACCTTTGCTGAAAAGCAATTGATGATAAATGTAGAAGTTTATTTCTGGACTCTTAGTTCTATTCCATTGATCTATGTATCTGTCCTTTTACCAGTACCATGCTGGTTTGGTTATTGCAGCTTTACAGTAAGTTTTGAAATCTGGGATAGTAAACCCTTCAACTTTACTTTTTTTAAAGATTGTTTTGGATATTCTGGGTTCTTTGAATTTTCCTTACAATTGTTAGGAAATTAAGAATTAAGATGGTTATTTAGATGGTTATTTTCAGGAGGTGAGGGCAAGGCCTGTTGGGCTTTTGATAGAGATTGCATTGAATCTATTGATCAATCTGGGGAGGACTGCCATTTTAGTAATACTGAATCTTCTAATCCATGAACATGGAATATTTCTCCACTTAGGTAGATCTTCTTTAACTTATCTCAGCAATGTTTTGTTGGTTTCTGTGTATACATTTTGCACTTCTTCTGTTAAATTTTTCTGAAGTATTTTGTTCTTTTTTATACTATTGTGGATAGAATTCTTAATTTCATTCTCAGTTTATTACTGATATATAGAAATTCAAATTATTTTTGTATATTAATTTTTTACCCTGTGATTTTGCTGAATTCATTTATTAGTGCAGTAGTGGGGGGGGGGAGTTGTTTTGGGGGTTTTTTCATTTCTGTTTTTTTTGGTTTTTTTGGTGAATTCCTTAGGATTTTCTAAATACAAGATCATGTCACCTTAGAATAAAGACAGTTTTATTTATTCCTTTCCAGTCTGGATGCATTTTTTTTCTCTTTCTTGGCTAATTGCACTTGCTCTTGCTTTTCATTTTAAGTAACTCTTTCTGTACTTTACCATATAAAAATATTATTAAAGACCAAAAAATGATTATTATATAAAATATAGAGACAACTTATTACAGTTTAATTCTTAGGAAATACATCCCTTTTTTAACTTCAATTTATGTTAAGTACATACCAGACTATCTTTTTATGATATAGTGGGTTTGAAATTAAGTTTATGGGATCAAACTTACATGTGTGTTTCAGAGATATAATGAGCAATGAAAATTTGCCTCCAATAATGCACAACTTAGAAGTTCTCCATTTGGGCTACAATGGAATTTGTAATTTAATTCAGCTACAACTAAACAGACTAAGAAATTTAAAATTCCTCTTTCTCCAGGGTGAGTACCAATGCAGATAATGAGTAAGTCATTGTTATTAAAACTGACCTGATAATCGTCCTTTCCGATGAGCAAACGCAAGCATCAGCACTTACGTAAAGAGATTCACTGACAAAAATGTTTTAGTAATCACTAATGGGGTTTTTTGGATTATTTACATAAATAATGTCAATGCAATATTCTAGGATTGTTGAATGTTGCCCTAGAGAATGCAATATCCTAGGACTACAGTCGTACAGTATAGTATTACAACATAATTTACTTTTATATCATATTCTATTTTAAAAACAATAAAAATTAACCAGTGAGTAATTCACAAGTACTTATTAAATCCAGAATTGTATTAAGTACTAAAAAAGATGCAGAAATACTATATTGTTGTAATATATATCATATCCTTGTTCTAAAGTAGTTTAAGATATACCTATAGAGACATACTGAAACAAAGATAAATTAAGTTCTGACTATGTGTTATTAACTTAAGTGCAATAGAAGTTTAGAGAAAAGAGAAACTGAAACATTAACCCCTCTATATATCTAGGACTCTTAGAAAGATTGATAGAGACTTTAGATTGAAGGTGAGGATGACCAAGAGCTTTGCAAGTGGGGGGTGGGGAAGGAGAGAGTCACAAGGGCAAGATTGTGGTGTCTGTGGGCCAGCACTTGAAAAGGGGCCAACCTGACGAAAACAAAGAGTATATCGTTTTCTAAGAGAGTTATAATGTTTCTAAACATGATCAATATGATGACTAATGCTCATTTTGCAGCTGAAAATAGGTAGGAATTGTAAATTTTTAGAAAAGCAGAATGAGAAAAAAACAGGGTTTGGAACATTAATCTAACAATAAAGGGAGTCAAATATATGGTGATGAAAGGAGATTCGACTTTGGGTGGTAAACACACAATGCAATATACAGATAATGTATCTTAGTATTGTACACTTTAAACCTATATAATTTTATTAACCAATGTCGCTCCAATGAATTTAATAAAAAAAAACATAAAAAATAAATATTTAATGACAGAAAAAGGTTGGGAGATACATCAGTGAGACATATGGGGAGATAACTGTATAGTTGATCTGAGTATAATAATTTTTTTCTGAAAGACAGACTTTTCTAGACCATATTTTAAGTTTTTTAATACATATTTTGCGTTTCAAAGGTGCTTGTCAGTTGGGTGAAGAATATGGAGACTTAGCCTTAAAAGAACAAGAAACCAAACACAGCAATGTCAGATCTTTTAAAAGAGACATTGACATCCAAAAAAAGCAGACAACCCAACCCTGGAAGGTCTATTTTAATCTAAGAATGTGAAGGAGGAGTGTGTCATGTTGCTGCGTCTGGTGTGGCAAGTTAGAATGAGGTAGCCTTATGCAGGAAGTGAGGCAGTTTACTCTGACAGTAACAGCTGCCATTTGAGTCATTGGTCAAAGTGTTTGTCTACATAGATTATGTCATTCAACTGTCACAGCAACCCAACCTAGTAAGCAATTTTATATGCATCTTATAAGAAAAGGAATTGATCGGTGGGCTTAAATAATTTACCTAAATACTGGCCAGCTCTGATTCCAAAGCACATGCATTTTCTATCCAGCATGACTGACAATAAGGGCCCAGGCTACAGTAGTGTCAGTGGGGAAACTAAGAGGTGAGTCCAAGCTGCAGTTTAAATGAAGGTACTACTAGGACTTAATGACTAACTAGATATATAAGGAGGGAAAAAATAGTTCAAGATGTTTTTCATGATTTCATTAGGAAATTGGTCAAAAAGAGGTATTAAAGTAGGATAAAGTCATTGGGAAAGGTTGCTCATTTGCAGTATGGAAAGATCAGTTTGCATTGTGACAATTTTGAGACATAAAAATGGAGACATTTCCAAGCAGTAGCACTAAACCACAGGTCAGGACTGGAAATGTATATTTTAGAATATACAGTGGAGGTGCCTAGTGAAGTCAACTGTTTGTGCTTACTCAGGAAATAAATATAAAGAAAACATGAAAGGCCAAAAAGAGGTATGGAGACAACCCCCCAACACACTACCCCCTACCCCCTCAACACCTGTTCCTTCCCCCTGCATTAGGAGAAAAAGAACTAGCAAAGGGTCATGCAAAAAATTTTGAAAGAAAACCAAGAAATGCAAACTCTAAATGTCAGAGAAATTGAGGATAAAAGGTTCAAAATCAATTGATGAAAACAATGAGTCCTATGTGGAAAAAAATTAGATGCAGACAATTTGAGTCAACAAAAAGGAAACAATTAGCAACCTTTAGAGCAGCAATTCTCAACCTTTTTCATCTCATGGCACACATAAACTAATTACTAAAATTCTGCTGCACACCTAAAAATATATTTTTTGCCAATCTGACAAAAAAAATAGGTATAATTTTGATTCACATGGCTTTTATTGTGTTGGTTGTTGTCACTGTTTTATTTGGCAATTGAAGGGGAAAGAGGTCAGTGCCCTGACTAAATAGGTATTGCATGTTTTAAAAATTCCTGCAACACACCAGTGTACCATGGTACACTGGTTGAAAATCGTTGCTTTAGAAGATCAAATTTGGAAACATGGTAAGAGCAAAAACCAAAATGAAGACAATTTAGAGGGAAGTAGATAGGCAGGAAAGGCACCAGAGAGAGGTTGTATATTCAATGAGCTTGTCCCTGAAAAGAAGGGATCTTCTAAAAAATTACATTTCTATTTCTCCTTGGAAATATGTTCTTTTTAATACTTTTTCAAAAAATAAGTGTATGGAAAATATTTAAATAAAGATAGATAACCTTTTATTCAGGAAGTTTGGGCTCACTTGATATATAATGACTTATCTTTTTTCAGGGAATGAAATCAGTCAAGTTGAAGGACTTGACAACTTATTTGTACTTCAGGAATTGGTAGTGGACCATAACCGCATCAGAGCATTTAATGACAGTGCCTTTGCCAAACCAAGCTCCCTGTTGGCACTTCACCTGGAAGAAAACAGACTACGAGAGCTGAACAATTTACAATCTTTAGTAAAACTAGAGAAACTCTTCCTAGGATATAATAAAATCCAGGTAACATTATTTTGTTTTTGTTATGAGATTTACAAGACTTACTTAACTCCTCTGAATGTGAAGCTTCCAAATATACCAATGAAAATTTTGCTAGTGTGTTACTTATCATTTATATGCCATGTAAATATTCTGATATAGAGGAATATATATAGTCTGTGATGCAAAGATGTCCACTCTGCTTCCAACCCACAGGCATCTACCTGCTAAAAAAAGTTAGCTCTAAATGTTCTAAGGCTCTTCTCAGCAGTCCTCTCTGAGATCTCTTTTGCTCCTGACTACCCTTGGTCCATGCTATTTCTGTATCTCAATCCCAGACTACCTCTGGTCCTTCAAACTTGGCATATGGATTTGTTCTACCTGACATTTGAATCAATTCCTGATTATGGTTTAATATTCCATCTCTCCCTTAGTCAAGGCTTCCTTAGGACCCTGTCTCAGTTTTACCTGCTCAAAATTCAACCTATTTCACCAGGCCGGTGTGGCTCAGTGGCTGAGTATCGACCCATGAACCAGGAGGTCACGGTTCAATTCCTGGTCGGGGCACATGCCTGGGTTTCAGGCTCAATCTCCAGTAGGGGACATGCAGGAGGCAGCCGATCCATGATTCTCTCTCATCATTGATGTTTCTATCTCTCCCTCCCTCTCCTTTCCTCTCTTTGAAATCAATAAAAACATATTTAAAAATAATAATAATAATATAACATTTTTCACATTTCTATGCTTCCCAACCAAGTTTTAGTTCCACAGATAGATATTGCCTGTGGGTCAAATGCACAAGATATCTATACATAATTGACTGTCAGAGCTTTTCCAAAGTCCCCCTTTATGATACTTCCAAAATCAAAATAGTAAGGATCAGTCATTTTAAAATAAAATTCTACTTCCAAGTGGTCTAAAATAAGTCTGAATTTTGTATAGTTACTAGATGAATTGGCTCTATCTACTTGTCATTCCAAATAAGAACAGGATCATATCAATAACTTTGTTTTATTACTATAAACTAGCAACAACCTTAAACTGAGATTATTGCCTATATTTTGTCAAAAATACCATTTTAGAAATAATTTTGCAAAAAAATAAAATGTAAAGTATTTGCAAACTTTCACCAATGTTAAATAGATAATAAGAAATAATCCTATCCAAGGGAAGGCAAGTAATTCAACTAGGGAAATCGTTTTTCAAATATATATATATATATATATATACCCTGCAAATATTTCAGGCTGCAGTCTACTCAATATTACATGTTCCTTTATGGTTAAGGTTATATTGAATATGTACATTTGAAATTGTTTTAACTGGATTCACCTTCTTTTCCACACTTCTGGGTCAGTCCTCTAGGGAATTAACCAACTAAATCTGAGTCCTAGAATAGATCATAAGTTTTCTAAGGAAAAAAATTTGGTCTTTTTTTTTTTTTTTAAATATATCTTTACTGTTTTCAGAGAGAGGAAAGGAGAGGGAGAGAGAGACAGAAACGCCAATGATGAGAGAGCCACTGGGGATTGAGCCCGCAGCCTGGGCATGTGCCCTGACAATCTCCTGGATCCTCGATCTCCTGGATCCTAGGTCAACGCTCAACCGCTGAGCCACACCCAGCCAAGCTGGTCTTTCCTTGCAAGTGCTATCATATGGCCTCTTTCACATGTTAGAATGTTATTTCTCCCAATCATGTATTTGGAATCAATATCACACAGACTTGTCTTTAATCAGCAATACAGAATATTGTCACTCAAGCTAACTTCACAGGGTTCAACCATGAGCTACTGCAATCCAATATTTACATATAATTAGACCCAAATCCGTGTGTATATGAAGATGTTGGATCTAACCAAATAATAATTTATTTACTTTTTAACAGGATATAGCAGAACTGGAAAAACTTGATTGTATCTCTTCTCTCAGAGAGCTTACAGTTTATGGCAATCCGGTGCGTATGTTACTTTTCTAATTTATTAATTAATTTCTTTACAGTTGTATATTATTTATTTTTCTATAAAGTGAGAAAGGATTAAATTTTGTTTTATTTATTCATAGACAGTTATCTAAGCACAATTTATTGACTAGTGTCTTCTTCCAACTGGTTTCAATAAACTACCATTGTCATTTATAAGAGTGTCAGTTTTAGGGTTCTACATTATATCCATTGGCCTATTTGCCAACCCCTGTATACCAATATTACACTGTTAATTACTAAAGCTTTATATTAAGTCTTGATGTCTGGTAGAGTAAGCACCTCTTCTTCTCTTCCACTTTCTGTTTTGCTTTCTTCACTGTCTTGGCTATTCTTAGCCCTTTACATTTTTTATGAGTTTTAGCAAACAGCTTCTCAAGTTGTATGAGAATCTTGATATTTTAATTAGAATTGCACTGAATTTTTAAATTAATTTTGGGAGAAATTTGCCACCTTTCATGCTGGAGTCTTTGAAGGCATCTAATAAGTAGCACCCTTATTCACCTAACATCTGGACAGATTGAGAAATATGATCGTAGCATACAATAGGAGAAGTGAAAATATTTTGCTTAGCTTAGTGAGAAAGCTAAGTGGGCCTACTAACAGATTCCAGAAATAGGCAATCATGATCACAAGTAGCAGAAAATACTTGACAGGATTCTCCACATGGGAGGAGAGCTTTTCCTTAAGGAGGAGAAAGCATTTTCCCAACAATAAGCTCTTTCCCAAAAGGGAAGACAGGAGCTAAACAAGTCCAATTCAATATTTCCAGATTTATTAAGTCACTCTATCTCCCCAGTGGAGAAGTGAAAACACTGAGAGAGCATAGTAGTGACACATCAGAGAGCTATTTCCACTAAGAAATACAATAAGCAGTCTCCCCTAATATTTATAGCATTAAGCCTTCCCGTTCATAAACACAAATAGTCCTACATTTTTTAATGCCCTTTAATAAAGATGTATAATTTTCTCCTAAAGGTTTTAATCATCTTTGGCTAGATTTATTCTGTTGTTTTAATAACTATTTTAAACAATATCTTTTTACGTTTTTCTAATTGTTTGCTGCTAGAGTATAGAAATTCTGATTTTTGCATATTATTCTTTGTCCAGGAACCTTGCTGAACTATTTTTAGTTCTAATGGATTGCAATTTTGTTGCATTTTCTCTGTAGACTATATTATCTGTAAATGACTCAATTATTTTTTCTAATTCTTATTTTTTATTTCCTTTACTTCTCTTAAGACCTCTAGTACAGTGTTGAATACAATCATAGTAGGTTACTGACTTCAAAAGAATGCTTCTAAGTTGTTCCTATTAAATATGATGTTTGCTCTAGGTTATGGGTAGATAACCTTCAACATTTTAAGGAAGTTCCTTTCTAATTCCAATTTAATACCTGTATTTATCATGAATGGATATTGGATTTTGACTAATTTCATTTGTTAATATGTCAATTACATTAATATACTCTAGTGTTTAACCACCCCAAAATTCCTGGGATGAATACTACTTAGTCATGTTAATACTTTGCTGATTCAGTTTGCTATGATTTCATGTATCTATGAAAATAAGTAAAATTATCTGTATCTATGAAAATAAGTAAAATTATCCTATAATTTTCTTATTCAAGTTCATCAAAAATGTTTTTTGGGTTTTTTTGCCTCGTGAAATTAATTGGGGACTTCTCCCTCTTTTCCTAGTCTATGAATTAGCTTATATAGGAGAAGACATGTGTTCGTTGAAGTATGATTAGATCTTATCTCTAAAACCATCTGGGTTTAATAAGTAGATTTAAACTAGTTATTCAAATTTTTCAATGGCTATAAATCTAGTCATGTTTCCTATTTCTTCAAAAGTCAGTGTTGGGAAGTCTTATTTGTCTATAAAATTGTCCTCATCTAAATTTTAAATGTATTTTTATTATAGTACTCATGAATTTTCAAAATCTCCATTATATGTTTTTTCACCTTTCTTATACCTAAGTTTGTTGATTTTTGTTTGTTTGTTTTCTTTTATTATTGGCAAGTCTTCCTAAAGCTTTGTCTATTGTATTACTCTTTTCAAAGAACCATATTCTGGTTTTATCAAGTAAATTATTTTTTTATTTCATTAACTTCAACTCTTTATTATTTCCTTCTTTTTCTTAGAATTTGTTTTTTAGAAATGCTTAAGTAGATGCCTAGCTTATTAATTTTTTATATTTCTTGTAATTGAATAAATTTTAGGTTACAGAATTTTGCATTAACAGCATCCTAAAATTTTTTATAGGTAATGTTTTTCCTTTTATTTCTTAAAATCTACTTTCCAAAAGATTTCTTCTTTAATCCACGAATTATTAAGGTGTGTGTTACTTTCAAATCTATGAGGTGTATTTAGTTATCTCTTGGCAATTTATTTCTAATGTTGTTGTTACCGGAGAGCGTCCTAACTCGGAGGGGGCTCTCCTCTCCTCAGCTCTTGTCACACTTGCATGAAAGAATTCAAATGAGTGACAGAAAGCAGTGTTGAAGCAAAGCAAGCAGATTTATTAAGGAAGCAAAGCAAGTGAATTAGTAAGAATACACTTGGCATAAAGCACAAGCAGGCAACTCAGCTAGTCTGAGTGCCGTACCTGGTAGGAGTTCAAGAGTTTTATACTTTTCCCTCCTATAGGTTTCAAGGTCCCCCTTTTACACTGTTGTGGCTTTTCCCTGAAGTTATGAGAACATCTGGCAATTTTACCTTGGCAAGACCCAAGACTGCTGACTTCTTTGTTCAGTGGGTGATACGTAAACTCCCCATTTTCCCCCTTCCCCACCTCCATCCCTAGCAGCTAACTATTCTGCCTAACATTCCCGCCACAAGTGATACCAATCCAGTACTTTTAGGGTTTTTGCTATTTGTCCCGAGACTTCATCTGTCCTTGGGTTTAGCTGGCCAGGGTGATTTAAGCTATGTATTCTCTGGTTAGGAAAGAGAGGTATAAACCATTTGCTCTCAAGTGTCCTTGGTTGAGGAAGATAAGGTCTTGTGATTCACAAGCTGGCTACAAGCTGCCCAAACTGTTTGGCCTTGTTTAATTTTCTTGTCTCAGTTTCCCTATTCCACTTGCTCAGGATTTTTCCTAGCTTCTTACTAGCCTGCCACATTATTACATTTTAGTTGGTGGAATTAGTCTATTTATTGCAATCTTTGGTATTTATTAAACTTGCTTTATGGCCAAAAATGTGGTCAAATTTTTCCTTTTACTCAATTATATGTCTTAGAGATCTCTCTCCATTAATGTGTATTTGTCTACTACATTTAAAAAAATAGATTGTTTATTCGTCCCTTTATTTGATGACTAAAGTTTTGCTATCACAAACAGTGCAACACATGACTGTGTTGTCCGTCCCCACGATCACTCCATGTTCAAGGATTTGCTAGAAGGGCTGGCTTGTGAGACTTAGCATATAATTGTACTTATGGCTAAGATTTATTACGGTGGTATAATGAGGATGCACAGCCAGGTAATGAGTGAAAAAGACACAGGCAGAGTCTGGAGGAATCCCTGTGCAGACTTCCTTATGCTTTTTCTCTCCCATGAGGGGTCACACTGTACACACTCTTCACCCAGCAACAAAAATGCAGCAACATCTGTGTTATGTTTCTGCCCAGGGAATCCCAATAGACTTAGCATTCAAAAAATTTTTTGCTATTACATGTCAAAATTCCAGACTCCCAGAAGGAAAATAGGATGAGCATAAATCATATTGTTGTGTGAGTAGTCCAGGTACAGTGAACTATCCTTGTCAGTTAAGAAATGGTGGGAACACTTCCAAATCCAAGTACCAAACATTAGTCAAAAGCTTCCTTGCAAGCAGACCCTTCTAAAAATAACAGCCTCAGGCCTACTATGTTAACTCTTTCTACACACCTTCTTATGCACATATGCAAATATTCTTAAGAGTAGTTTGGCACTATGAAGTGATGGATCACACAGTTCAATAGATGTGTACTGAATTAAATTGGATAGTGCCTGTTGAAATAGATTTCAAACTAATTACAAGTGAACTTTTATAATATAATACTATTCCTGAGTTGGGATTGTCTGGAGTTAATGAACAATATCATATATACACTTTTTTAAAAAAGACTAAACCTCCAAATGGTAGCCTTGGTTAGAAAAAAGAAAAGTTCTTACCTTTATTAGCATAATAGGAAATTGAGAAATCTTTCAAAAAGGGAGCTCATATTTGTATCATCTGCCTCTTTGCTGCCTATGCTAAATTTCTATAAAGATTAATCTTTGAAATAAAAGGTTTTCGTAAGAATAAATTATTTTTATCTTTATTCAGATTTGTAGAAAAATGGTACATCGCCACGTGCTCATATTTCGACTACCTAACTTACAGATGTTAGATGGAATTCCTGTGAATTCAGATGATAGAACAAAAGCTGAACTTCACTTCTCTGAACTACAAGCAAAGAAAAATTCGGTAATCATTATATTATTTATACTTTTTCTTTTAATATAGAAATTATTAGTAAATAAACATCCTATCTTATGCATTTTTACTTAAATATTTAAACCTAGGCTATGATGTTTTTGTAGATTATTTAGTATCTTTTTAGTGATTACTATCAAAGGCTTGATCTGGTGAATAGAGCACATACACACACACAAGCCAGGGAGGCTCCTTTTTCTAATAGCATACTTTGACATAAAGCTCAATATGTCCAAGAATGCTAGAAGGTAAGAAACTACAACATATCACTTTTATAAACAGAAACTAACAAAACTCTTTCCACTTAGTAGATAGGAAGGGAAGGAAGGAATTCTAACCTCAGCTCTCTGGGCTATATAGTTCATCTAACGAGAGATGTGTACCTGTTTTTTTGTATATTGGCAGAATAATTGGGCCTTTTACCCATAAACCCTAAAAAGGTATCTGACCAAGGTAGGAAAGAGATTAGAGAGAGAAGCAGCCACCAAAGCATATATTTATGAAATTCTATCATTGACCATCCTCCAAAGACTAAATTTAACACAGAAAAGCTATGGTTTTCTTAAAAAGCAGCAGCATTATTAGAGCTGTGCCTTTGCAAGGATTTAGGAAGAGGAAGCCAGAGACAGAGAAACTGGTTAAGAGGCTTTTAGAATAATCCAAGAAAGAGATTATGAAGACCTGGACTGGGCAGGGGAAGGGGAGAACTGCAATGAGAATGTACTGGAACCTCTAATGTAAGTGAAAGCCAGAGAGCATGGACCTTAGCAAACAAAGATAACTTTTAAAAGTTATATTTAGGAAAGAGGTAAGACTTACTGTACATACTTTCATTTAGATTACCCAACACAACTAAATCCCAGAGCACACTGACCGTGCTGTACTAGTAGACTCCTCTCTGGTCCACTTCAGACTTCAGCAATAGATTCACATATTTTTCAAGAGTTGGCTGTGATTTTTCAAAATTTTACTTTAGTTCTCTTATTTTAAATAAACAGATACACTATAAATGCAAATTTTAAATTATTATTTATCTGTTTCTATGAAAACCAAATGGGATACTTTGGAAAGTCTGGATAAAGATCAATCTCTCTTACACACAAGCACAGCCACAGTGTCAGATTAGGTTGGGAGAGGGAAAATTGGTAAAATATGGGGGGAAATTATAAAAATTCAGACAAAATATGTGGGAAAATTATTTTTTAAATCTAGACAGATTCTTTTGTTCAAATTTTCTCCACATGTCTTTAAATTGTTGCTACTTTAAAGAAACCAAAACTAGATTTTATAAGCAAAACCTTAAGTGTGGATTTATCCATGGACAATCAGATAAAATGCCAATTAAGGGACACTTGCTTACAGAAAAGGCTTTGGCCCTTTATCAAAAGATTGTTGAGTGAATGTATTTTTATGTTTAAAAATTTTTTAAAGAGAAATATTAATTATACATATAATTCTTAATTATTCCCTGACTTTTTTATTAACCTTGACTTTTTTGATTAACCAAGAGGCTTCTTATAAGTCAAAGTAGCTACAGGGGCCTGTGAGACTTAAAGTTGTACAGTGTTAATAAAGATTATCTAGATGAGGTCAAGGAAATTTGTTTATTTGTGGGCTATATCTCCAGAATTTTTTTCTAAAAACTATATTTTGTGAAAAAAATCTTAGCTACTAATCTCTCTGATATATCTAAGAAAGTGCACCATCTAATGTCATCTACTGAAATTATTGTCACAGGTTCCAGTCTTTCAAAAGAAAATAAATAATCAAATAAAATTTAGTTCAGTGATTTAAGTATCCTTTCCCTTTCTCTGTTTTATATTTCTGGAGCAAGTCACTTTTTGATTCCAGAAGTGGAAAACTTCAGCTTCTTATTGCTGTTGTAACAAATTACCTTAAATTTAGTGGCTTGAAACAACACAAATTTATTATCTTACAATTCTGGAATCAAAAGTCCAAAACTCAGTCTGACTGAGTTAAAAATCAAAAGTATTGACGGGGCTGTATTTCTTCTGGAAGCTCTAGGGGAGAATTTGTTCTTTGTTTTTTCAAACTTCTAGAGGCTCATGGCTCTCTTCCAACAATGGCATCACTTTGACCTCTGGTTCCATCATTAAATTACATCTTCTTTCACTCTGGCCCTCCTGCCTCCCTCTTATAAAATTATACTATCATAAGATTGTATTGGGCCCACTTAGATAAACCAGGATAATCTCCTCATTTCAAAATCCTTAATTTATGCCTGAAAAGTCCCTTTTGCCATGTAAGGTAATGTATTCACAGGTTTTGGAGATTAGGATATGGACATTTTGGGGGACGGGGGTGTTCTGCCTACCACACCATATATCTGAGGGCTCCAGTGAGAGACCTACAAAAATTGTCACATTAAAATTTATAAAGTCTAAGGTAATGTTGACTAAATTTAGAAAATTACATATAATTACATATAAATTCACTAAATTACATATAAAGAAATCACTTGGAACGACTTTAAAGATCATAATTTCCATATATATTATTAATTGACTTAACATAGCAGAAAAAGTACATACACTCAAATTTTAGTCAATGATGAGTAATTCACCAGTGCTTGTTGGCTAGTCTTTTCTATTTCTCATCTAATGAACTCATTTTCCCATTACTATGCTATGATGTTATCTTGAGTGATTCTAGATACCTATTCTCACCATTTGAATCAGTGCCATATATAAGAATTAAGTTATCATATATGTCAACTTATTCTATAAGTAATTTTATTTTTTTTTTAATTTATCTACACATAGTAATATAAAGGGGATATTTGAAGTCTTTATTTTATTTTAAGATTCAATAATAATTTTTATTTTCATGGCTAGAACAAAATTGAGCCATTATTTCTTTTAGCTATTTAGGAAACACAAGAATATTTTGAAGNGGAAAACCTATTTTAAGATTCAATAATAATTTTTATTTTCATGGCTAGAACAAAATTGAGCCATTATTTCTTTTAGCTATTTAGGAAACACAAGAATATTTTGAAGTTTATCAGTTATCTAATGTATTTTTCTTTGTTGAAGTTGCTGCTGTTCTTTCTTTTTAACAGCAGATAAAGAAGGAATCGATGAAATCTAAAGTCGTCCTTTAAACCAGAACATTTTTGGTGGTTTGGTTTCAGAAGAAAATCTGACAACATTCTAGATTAGTAATGGGGAAAGAGTCCTACAAAGGAATTAGTTAGGGAATTTGGGACTTGCCAGCTTCGGGAAAATGCCTGATCCTTAGTGTTCATTACAAAGCTCCATTCTGGGTAACACTTACTGGTGTATGAAGGAAATCAGTAATTTTATACAAATGGCAAAAGCCTATGTCTCTAAGTTGAATCATATATTCAGAATTTATATTTTTTAAAGTATAAGATCAGTCTTAACGAAGACAGAGCAAGCACAAATTTCTAAGGAAACCAAGTCTCCCTACTCTACTTACTGATATCTGAAATTCTTTAAAAAGCCTCTTAATCCTCAACTAACTTAAAAGGTAAACACTATTTATCGAGTACATTCATTAAAAGTGATTGTTATAAGATGCTTTTCTTAGCCCTCATTTTATTTGTTTGTTTTTGAAAAACTAATTAATTGCATGGTTCCTAATGAGGTATTGTGAGGAATACAACAATGTAGAAAATATAACTCCTACCATCCAGAAGTTTCTGTTTAGAAAAAAAAAAAATGAACATTACAAAGAAGAAAAGTCTTAATTCTTAATTTCTTTACTTTCCTTGTGAAACCATTTGGAAAGGGGGCAGTGCCCTCACATTGGATTCTAGTGATGAATACAATGCACCTAAAAAAGCAGAACATGATGTTCTGTAGGAGGTTAAAGACTCAAAGCCTGTTTCACAGTTTTTGCTTCATACTAACGCTGAATTTATGCAAGTATATAACTCATAACCTAAAAAATGTTTATTATCAAGTGGGGCTTGTGATAAGAACTAAACCTATTGATTTGAGTTTTGGAGGTGAGGGTTCTTAATTTTTTTAATTTTATTATATAGTTTACTCCTGTTGCCAACTCTCCTATGGATGGTGGATCATTTGGCCAAGTGAAAGCGTCTCCCATAAAGATAACAAATATAATTCTGCCTGGTGGATTTAGCCATTACTTGGGATCTGACTTCACTTTAATTCCTGAAATTGAAGGTATTTTGACACAGTTTCAGAGTGAATGTTAAACAAACAAACAAACCAAAAAAAAGCCCACTTTATCTGAAACAAAACTCAGTTTAATTTCTAATAACTACCCAAAATTGCATGTTTTAAATTTACATTTTAAAATTGCATGTCTATTCAAGTTTTGTGTGGCCATTATGATTTCAAAGAAGTCTGTAGTATTTTTTTGTTCTGCTCAACTATTAATGTTATAACTAAACATTTGCTTGCAATTTGAACTTTGTGATACTTGCACAATTATTTCCTTACATTTCTTTTCAAAGTTTTTATTTCATTTTGTGTATTTCATAGCAAATGGCAACTAAGACCAGTTCATTAGTACATCCTGCTTAAAGCAGAAATCAGAGGTTTAAAAATATTGATAACAAGACTTTTGTGGTAAAAAGGATATTTTAGAAAGAAAAGATCAGACTTTATCCTTGAAATAATAAGTAAAATATTCATGAAGACAATATTGGTGAAAAGTTTCAAGCCCTAGCCGGTCTTGCTCGGTGATTAGAGTGTCAGTCCGCAGACTGAAGGGTCCCAGGATCGATTCCAGCCAAGGGCATGTACCTCGGTTGCAGGCTCGATCCCCAGCCCTGTTCGGGGCATGTGCGGTAGGCAACCAAGATGTTGTCTCTCTCACATCAATGTCTTTCTAGCTGGAGAGCACCATCATAACCAATGACCTAAAGTGTAGACCACATAGAGGCTGGTAGTTAAGTGCGGAGGCATGAGAGGGCTGGCTGGGCTCCCACAGGGAGCAGCTGAAGGTCCGGAGGGATATCTCAGCTGTGGGGGTTTCCCACTGAGAACTCTTGGGCCTAAATTCCAAGCTGGGCTTCCCAGACCAGAGCACCAGAACTGAGAAAGATGCCCACATAACATCTGGCTGTAAAAAGCAGCGGGGTTTCTGTCTGCCAGGAAGAGAGGGCTGGAAGTGCAGGCAGCCTCTTAAAGGGCCAACACACAAACTTTCCTGTGCAGTCACTCACCTTGGGCTCTGGATGTAGGAGTAGACTGGAGCTGTGTGGGGAGAATCCAGGGGTGCAGCTTGGGGGATAGAGCTCAGAGGGCAGCTATCTGGATTCTGTGCTGGGTCGTTCCCCCATATAGCAGATCACATCTTTCTCAGACAGACATTTACCATCCAAGCAGCGTTTACCTCAGGGGAAAGGGAAGCAATTGCCCCACCCATTGAAAACCTCTCACCCCACCCTGTGGAGTTTCTACAGACTGAGGCTCATTAAGAGTCTGAATAACAATCAGCCTCTGGGTGCTTTGAGTTTTTGCCTGATTTGCTTCTGGACCCAGGGCTTGGAAAAGCAGACCTTGGTGGGCCTTTCCAAATACACTAAGCCCCAGCAGAGGGAACCACAAGCTGTGAAATGTGGAAAGCTTCAAACAGGGTACTCAAGGCCAGTCACAACAGCATGTGACATTGGCCTGCACCAGAGGCCATCCAAAAGACTGAGAGTCCTAACAGATCTACCTTATACATACAAACAAATCCAAACAGGCGGCCAAAATGGGGAGACCAAAAAAACAAGCCCCAAATAAAAGAACAAAAGAATTCTCCAGAAGAAGAGCTAAATGAAATGGAGATAAGCAATCTATCAGATAGAGAGTTCTGAATACTGCTCATAAGAATGCTCAACAGCATGAGAAATGATATAGGAACTATGAAGGAAATTAAAAATGACATAGTAGAAATAAAAAAAACATTGGAAGGAATAAACAGAAGATTAGGGGAAGCTGAAGATCAGATCAGTGAATTAGAAGACAGGGCAGAAAAACTCACTCAACCAGAGATCCAAAACCAAAAGAAACCAAAAAAACAGGAGGACAGTTTAAGGGAGCTGTGGGACAACATGAAACACAATGATATTTGCATCATAGGAGTGCCAGAAGAGGTGAAAAGTAAGCAAGGGTTAGAGAACCTGTTTGAAGAAATAATGGCAGAAAATTCCCGTAACTTGGTGAAGGAAAAAGTCAGACAAGTTCAGGAGGCACAGAAAGTCCCAAGCAAGAAGAACCCAAAAAGACCCACTCCCAGACACATCATAATTAAAATGCCAAAAATCCAAAACAAAGAGAGAATCTTAAAGGCAGCAAGAGAAAACCAATCTGTTATCTACAAAGAGCTCCCATAAGGCTGTCAGCTGATTTCTCATCAGAAACTCTACAGGCCAGAAGGAATGGCATGAAGTTTTCAAGGTAATGCAAAATGAGGATCTGAAACCAAGAATACTGTATCCAGCATGGCTATCATTCAAAATAGATGGCGAAATAAAGAGCTTTCCAGACAAAAAAATGCTAAAGGAGTTTATCACCACCAAACCAGCATTGCAAGAAATGTTAAAGGGACTGCTATAATAAGTTGAAATAGAGATAAAGAGAAAGATAGGCATAAAGAAATAAAATGGCAATAAAAAGTACCTATCAATAATAATCTTAAATATAAATGGATTAAATGCTCCAATCAAAACATAGGGTAGCTGAATCGATAAGAAAACATGATCCAAGTATATGCTGTCTACAAGAATCTCACCTCACAACAAAAGACTCACACCAGCTGGGAAAAAAAACAAAAAAACTTCTGGAGGACTTTAAAGGAAAGATCAACAGCAATGCAGTCATAGTAGAGGACTTTAACATCCCACTGACTTTACTGGATAGATCTTACAGACAAAAAAAATTGACAAGGAAACAGTGACTCTAATTGACACACTAGATCAGATGGATTTAATTGATATTTACAGAACATTTCATCCCAAAGCTGCAGAATATACATTCTCCTAAAGTGCACATGAGACATTCTCAAAGATAGAACACATGTTAGGACACAAAACAAGTCTCTACAAGTTCAAGAAGATGGAAATCATATCAAGCATCTTCTCAGACATTTACACAATGGAATACTATGCAGCTGTAAACAAGAAGGATCCCTTACCCTTTGAGACAGCATGTTGGGACCTAGAGAGTATTATGCTAAGTGAAAGAAGCCAGTCAGGGAAAGTCAAGTTTCACATGACATTACTCATATGTGGAATCTAATGAACAAAATAAACTGATGTACAAAATTAGATCCAGAGACACAGAAGCATGGAACAGACTAATGAATCTCAGAGGGAAGGCAGGTGTGGGAGTGGGAGGGGGAGAGAATAACCTAAGAACTTATATGCATAACCCATGGACACAGACAATAGTGTAGTGAAGGCCTGGAGGGGGGGTGCAAGGTGGAGAGGGTCAATGGGGGAAAAAGGGGGACATTTGTAATACTTTCAACAATAAAGATAATTTTTTTTAAAAAAAGAAAGTATATTACAAGGACAGGGCATGGAAGTGGTTCATTCTAGTATGTACATTTTAATTCAGGCTTAGATCAACCTTTCTCCTAATTCCCGATCTTCACAGGCTACCATTTTGATGAAAATGAGAGAAGCTGCTCCTTCTCTGAGGGGCTCATCTCTTCCATTGCTTTTAACATCCTATATTGCCTCAGGCCACTGTTGGACAATAAAACTGAACATTACAATAACTGTGAAAAGAGCTAACAGCTTACTAAGAATAACATTGTCCTATGTGTATTTTTAAAGGAAACTCAGTTAAAAGAAACTCAACATAATTTACTCTGTTAAGATATTTTTTGTTTAACTTATTTTTCATACTTCTACATACTTATGGCTTCAAGGCTTTAATCATAGTCAGAATTTTATGCTTTTATCCAGTAAATATAGCTATCTGTATCGCTGGTTGTACTGAATTGTTATTAGGCTCCTTAGCAATACAATGTCATCGTCAGGAATGTATTGCTGAATGTATATATATTGGCATTAGTTCAACCCTGGACTCATCTCCCTAACTTACTTCTCAGATATCTTTCTTCAAGATTCATTGTGCAACTATTTTTTAGGATTTTCTGGAAAAGTCCTGTATTTCTTATTTTCTGACTATACTGCTTCAATTTTTATTTTGAAAGTATGGTCACTTTATCTATACATTTATTATAGTACACATCTCTGGATATTTATATTTTTTAAAATTACCTAGAGAGAGCAGGTGGAAGAGGGAAATGGGATAAATGTTGATGGAAGGAGACTAGACTTTGGATGGTGAGTCCGCATCGCAATATGTAGATGATATAGTTTAGAATTATAAACTTGTAACCTATGTAATTTTATTGACCAATGTTACCCCAATAAATTCAATTTAAAAAATACCTAGAAAGGAGCAAATTGATTCATTAGCTCAGAGAGTTAAGTAGCATTAAGTGCTAGAAATACATTCCAATTCTATACTTATAAATATTTTAAATTCATGTTATGTAATATGTATAGCATACATTCAGCTGAAGGACAAATTTTTATCATTTATTTTATTAATGTTTCTCATTGTTTCATAATTCCTAATTTCAGACAAAAAAAACAAGAATGCAGGGATTCTGACAAATAATCCTCGGAGCATTCATGCAGAAATAGCTTTCCGGCAACTCAGAGGAATAAATCTCTCTCCGTCTCTTATGTCACATCAGAATATGGCATCTCCAACTGCACAAATGTACCAAAGCAACCAAGATGACGGGAGGTAAAGCTATTCTGTGTTTTAATATCATTTTTCATCATTTAAAACACCTCCCTAAATTTGCTAGTCACGTATAAAAATAGGAAATATTGTTATATACTGTTATATATTTACTCAGAACTGGGGGAAACTGTCAGATAACATAGGGTTTCTTGTCCCACATTCACCAAATCTTTCCCAAAGTCCAGTATATTTATGTCATAATTCAAAAAGGCTTAGAAATGTCTATCAAGGTAGAATAGTGCTCACATAGTACTTATGTGAGGGAAAATTGAAATAATTACAGTACATGGGAACTACTTTTAATTGTATTCTCTCCCAAGTCACTTCTACTTACTGAATATGCAAAGCAGTTCACTTATGTGAAATCACAAAGGCCAAGAATACTGTAAATTCTTCAGATCTCTATATAGTTCCCACTTGCCCTTCCTCCTTTCTGGACTCTAGCACTAGAGGCCAACTCAATGCCTAAGAGCCTCCTACTTCTCATTTAAAATTCACTATGATGCTCCAAACCTGTTTGCCTTGATTTCCAGTTGTTACCTGTTCACCAGCCTCTTGGTAGCCAAGCTCTGGCTCATCTATTCGAGTGATCTGCTCAGCAGCAGATCTAGAGTAGGCCTGGCTCTTGCACTGACTTCCCTGCTGTAATCAATCATGTCCCACTGATTCCTCAGGATAACCCATTTTTGTTTTGTTTTTTGTTGTTGTTCTTTTTTTAATATATCTTTATTGACTTCAGAGAGAGGAAAAGAGAGGGAGAGAGAGATAGAAACATCAATGATGAGAGAGTCATTGACCAGCTGCCTCCTGGCACGCCCTCGACGGGAACAAGCTGGCAACCCGGGCATGTGCCCTGACTGGGAATTGAACCCCGATCGCCTGGATCTTAGGTCAACGCTCAACCGCTGAGCAACATCCAGCAGGGCTAACTCATTTTTTAGATAGCCAAAAATTAGGATCATTTTCTCTTTTGTATGTCTTTGAATTTTACACGTATAAAATACAGAAATTATTTATTGCTGAATTACCTTAAGTTAGCTGATCCATTAAGAAATTGTAAACATTATTTGACTCAAATATTTTATTTCTGACAGAATTCCTGGGAGACACTTCACAAGATCAAATAGAATGTAACTGCCTAAAGAGAAATGAACATACACCAAGAAACCTATTACTGTGTAGTAGTTTGCAAAAACTAGCAATGTCAGTGAAAAAAGTAAGATAATTGTGTTACTTATGTTACTGAAGCACTTCAGTTTCATATGAAGATAATCTTTGTCACCCTTAGTGAATTTTATTTAATATCCTCTCAAACTTTCCTTATGGTTATCTTAATTATTTGTTTAAATGTCTATATTAGAAAAATCATACAACAATTTGAAAAGATACAAGTGACATAAAGCAAAGTCCAAAGACTCAAATATTTAGTCCTGATATTAGAAGACTTTAGTTACAAAATCTCATTATGGTCTATCATATGAAGATACTAAGAAATGTAATTTTAGGACATAAGCATACTTTCATTTGTAGAATACCTGTTCATTTGGAGTTACCTTAAACTAAAGCATACAGTTCTTACCAAACACAACTAGAACTAAGGCAAGCTGAGTTTAGCTAGTTGAATCACAGATTAGTTTCTTTAGGACTATACTTGGGGGGGAAAATCCTCAAACTGGGTCTGCCCTAAGAATTGTTTAGAGGCAAACCATGGACATCAATAGTTCTTCCTGAAGGTGGCTAGATGTGAGTGCAACCAGTCAGTCATGCTCTAAGAATAACTGAGTACTATTTCATATACAAAATTGGTTATTTGTGCCTATAGTGTTATAATTTTACAAGCTGCTTTAGTCTGAAAAGAACACATGTTCAAACTGAGTAGACACTTAAAATTTGGATCCTTAATAATTATATATCACTGGAGATAATTTTTCTAAAATATTACATTGCATAGTACTAGCACATATAACAAATCAACCAAATATGATTTTAAATGTGCTTAAAAACTGTTTGTTAAATACAGTTCTTCAAATTAAAGACTAAATTACCAATCAGATTTTGATATTAATGAGCTCCATGATTCATGACCTATTCTATTTAAATATTTCAAGTATTGGTTCAACATTGCATGTAGTTTTCATACTCTTTTATGTTCCTTACATGAAAATAAATTAATTTTACTAAAATATTTGTATTTTATAATCTATCTGGAAATAGCTTCAAAGATATTTTGGAAACTAATTCCAATGTGTATGCAACAATTTTGTATCTTTTCTTCTTTAAATACTGTATGTTTTGTAATTAAATCATGTAATATTTAAAACTTTAAACCTAATACAAATTGATTTTACACTTCTTAATGTGTGGTTTTTAAACAACTATTACTCTTAGGTAGAAATAAGATCCTTTGTTTAAAAAACTGTGCAGTTCTTAAGGTGTCCAGAAGATGTCTTTGTTGCCCTTTAGTTTTGGCAACTGCTTATATTACAGTGATAAGGGTCTGTTCTTTACTATCTATTGCTAACTGGGCATCATCTGCCTTTTTTTTCTTTTATGATAATGTATAAATGAAATCCTGAATATATATTACTTTCATAATAAAATGTGTCTTTTAAAATAAAAATCTCTGGTGGGACAAATAAATGTAACAGGTTTTCATGTAGAAAAATTTACAAGAATAGAAAAGTATAAAATAGAAAAAGCAACTCATTATCCAGCATCCACTTAACATTTGACATATTGTCTTTTAGCTATTTTTCCTGTACATTTATATGTAAGAGCTATAATGATTTTTATGTACACTTATTACATTTTAATATATCTTATTTCATAAATTTTAAACTACACCTGAATTTCTCCTTGAAGATAAATTAATTTGTAATACATAATTTGATAGTAATACTAAGAATAATAATAAACGTATTTAAAGCATTGCTAGGTGCTGTATAGAAAACAGACACAAACTCAACCTTAGGATTATTTTAGTACAAATATATAATAAATAATTTATATAAAAGCAGTGAAGGGATGATTACTAACATAATTTAGCACAGCCATTCCAATTTTTTTTTTACTTTTTTTTTTTTTTGCCATGAGGGCAGATGACACTGACATGATCAGCATGCTCCCCTGGAAATGCTTAGACAGGTTAAGCCATTGGTTATGCATAGTTCATAAAGCAACAGCAATAATTTCACCCTTTCTTATTCAACAAAACAAATGAAAATGTAATTGAACATGAGGGATAATTTTATAGGCATGACTTTAGATTTGCTCTAAATTGTTTAAATAAATCATTCACAAACTGAAATTTTAAGTTATAGTTACAAATTATTTGTAACACTTCACAACTCATTGCAACAAAACAGACAGGTAGTGCTTTAAATTTACAAACTAGAAGCCCATGTTTTATCCCCATAACCAGCCTATGAAGTAGATATGAAATATCTCTATTTATAGATAAAATGGCTTAAAAAGGAAAAGGGTAGATATTACACCAAATCCTAGATTTTTTTCAACTCCAAATTAATTGCCTTTTTGATTAGTACAAGTAAATTGACATTTAATTCTTACTAATTGTAAATCTGATTAATGCTACTTAATCAGCTGTTGTAGAGCCTTAATGTATATAAAAACTGTAAACTATTCATTTTCTTCCAGTGTATTTAGGGAAAGTTTCTACAGTAAAATTAGTTCTTTGCTCCTAGCAAATGTCTTGATAGATTTATTTTGCATGCAATCATATGCATGATTATTCAACTTGTTCTAAATTAAAGAACAATTTCACAAACAACTTGGAAAGCTAAAAATTAGGGCACTTTAACTACAAATTAGGAGCTTACAATGCTGAACTAAATATAAATTATGCCAAAGTGCTCTTCTGATTTTGACATATGAAGATAGGCTATAATTAATTGTACATTAAGAACTTTATTTACTTCTATTTTTATAGTTCTGGATTTCTCTGACTTGATACAAAATAAACTATGGTTGTGAACAGATTTTTGTGTGTGTTTGCAGGCACTCATGACTAGTTTTAAAATAATCCTTATATTTAACATGTCATTTCACTGCTTATTCATAAGCTATCATACACTACGAGAAGTGCTTAATATTCTAAAACATTGGATCTTACTGTTACTCATGCTGTAGGCTCTTAACTTCAGTTAAATGTTACATAAAAAGAAGTAAATTTTTTATAGCACTTCTGTCGAGTTCTGTTGGTTATTCAGTGAATCTAATCAAATCAGGTTTTTTATGGGATAGAAACTGGCTGGGTTTTTTACTGCTCTGCTATAAAACTTAGAGCTTCTGGATGACCTCCAAGTGCTTAACTACTTTCCTTGTTCATCTCTGCCCTTTCCTCCATTATTGAAATATTTTTAAAGAAAACCTATACAGAATTGCAGTTTTAGTTTACAGTCAGCCAGAAGTACACAGTTATTTTATTAGCAATATTTTATCTCTACAAGTTTTTCTTATAAATATATGAATTATAATATTCTATTACTTTTTTTCATTTGTGAATAAAATTGTTTTGTAGAGTACTAAGAAGACGTCTCTCAGATCTAATTTGTGCATATTTATTTTTATTTTTATTATTTATTTATTTATTTAAAATATATCTTTATTGATTTCAGAGAGAGGAAAGGAGAGAGATAGTAACATCAATGATGAGAGAGTTATTGATTGGCTGCCTTCTGCATGCTCCCAACTGAGGATCGAGGCCGCAACCCGGGCATGTGCCCTGACTGGGAATCGAACCCCGATCGCCTGGATCCTAGGTTGATGCTCAACAGCTAAGCCATGCCGGGCCGGGCAGCATATTTANAGCTAAGCCATGCCGGGCCGGGCGGCATATTTATTTTTACATTTTGTTTAGGTAATGATTTTTTACCCCTTCTAACTAAAATAAGTGCCTTTTTGGCAAAAACATGAAATGCTGTAACCTGAAAATAGAATAGTATATTCAAAGGAACTTAGAAGTAGCTTTAAAACTGTTAATGACCTAAAATCAAGTTATTTATCATTTATGTTTTATTTATTAGGCCTTACCTTAACTATAAGCGCTTTTAGGTAAATCAAAAAACCAATTAATTCATCAACACCATCATTTTCCATATAAAATACCTGTGATTCTGCAATGATAATTAAAAATTAGAATAGATTTTTCCTTATGTTGTATCATTAAAAATTAGAGTATTTCCATATGCTCTGAATTAAAGTCCATTGGTATAATATATTTTGGTAACTTATGTAAATTAATTACATTTTGATCAAACATTAAATAAAAACAAATGTGAAATACTTTCACAAATGATATTCTACATTTTCATCTGGGTTTTCATTTATAATTCTAATTCTAATTATTTAAAAATATTTTATACCTATAGAGTTCCATTATTAAACATTACAAATTTAAAAAATGTTAGCAATTATCTTAACTGTTTTTGTGAACCATCTATGGTTACATTTATTTTTAAATAATATCTACATAAATCTTAAATAGAAAAAAATTAAGGTCATGTGGTTTAAAAGGTGTAGATTTTAATCATGAACCTATGTGTTTTATGTCTTGCTTACTGTAAAACACTATTTGTTTTAGAAAATGTTTCAGATAATCTTAGAAGTTTAGCTCTATTTGTTCCGTCTTTAATTATAACATAATGCTGCCCCTCTTCCCTCCTTCCTCCCGAATGTTTTACAAGTACGTTTTTCAAGAACAACAAAAAAGACTAATCTGTAAAAAATATATCAATAACATTTATAAGTTTCCAATTATTTCTCATTCCTATCAATTTGGCTGAAAACAGGTATTTACAAACAATGGTAGCCTACTTTCTTATGGCCTTTCATTTTTTATGAAGTGCTTTAAAAGAGTTCAATCAACCTTAATGGTGCATTTTTAGTTAAGGAAATAGAATGGGGAGAAGTCAATTTGAGCTCCCAGACGAACAAGTGTCTCAGAAAGAATAGACATAAATGGATTTAGAAAACAGAGTACGAGTAAAATGCAGTGAGCAGAGCACTCAAGGAAGCCAGATACAATGAAAAGAGTAAAATACTGCAGAGCTTTTTAAGCTACATACAATTGGAACAATGGACTTGACCCAGCCATTTATGTTAAACTGTTAAAAGATAGGTGAAAAGCAAGCTGGAATTCTATAGTGTTGAGGAACAGTAGAATGAAGAGCTTTAAACCTAAAGAGAATGAATGCAGTCATTCAA